GAGTAGATACTCATAAAGTATCACAAGTAGAATTTTACCTTTAATGGGAAAGCAGGGTTAATAAAGACATTGTGTTAAATAAATAAACTTGCTTTTAAACCTTATTTGTCTGCCTTATAGAGTGTGTGTATACACATGTTTTTAAGTAGGTCCTTCTAAAACACAAAATATTTTGTTTTATAAAATGTTTCTATTAAAGACACCAATTATTTGACAGCACCCTTTTGCACACTGAAGAGAAGAATGGAACATATGAAATAGAAATGCTCTCGAGGGGCCAGCCTTGCACGAATCACTGTCTCCACCTAGTGCTGGCTTTCAGGAATTAAGACTCCAGGAATCCCCTGGATTCTGCAAAGTCCTAACTGATGTTATGCACAGGTACAGTCTTTACAGCTGGGTCTGCTGGTGCCATTGCAGTTAAGGGCCTGTCAGCTCTTCATTTATAAAACAGAATATTAAGAGGTCTGTTGCTTTTGCATAAAAGCTCATGCTGTGCTGGAACTCTGCAGTCTAATGGCCTTTGCTCTGTGTGAATGTTTATTAACAGTGCAAGTTGAACTTGACCAGTTCCTTTTAAAGACACCCCGATGGGTTGAAGTTACATAGGCACTGCAACCAGAAGGATGGATCTATTCATCAACACCCTGTCCTTTACTTACAGTAATCTCTCTGCATGCATCAGACCACTGGACACCTGAAAACTCCACTGATGTGGCAGGCCCTGGATTTCATAGCATCTATTTCAGATCCTCTGGCACACAAGAGGAGACGAACAATTTTGGTTACTCACGTGGGGGAGATCGAGGAGATGGTTTCACGGAGGTCAAGTGAAGTCAAGGAAGTGTTTTAAGAGAGAGAGAGAGAATGATCGTTTCTTAGGCACTGCTGTTAGTTCAGTCTGGAGAAATGACCTTCGATTTTGGTAATATTAAAATCTGATGGCTTGCCCAGCCAGTGTGGCTCAGTGGCTGAGCATCGACTCATGCATCAAGAGGTTCGATTCCTGGTCAGGGCACATGCCCAGGTTGTGGGCCTGATCCCCAGTGGGGGGCACGCAGGAGGCGGCCAATCGATGTTCTCGCTCATCGATGTTTCTATCTCTCACCTCCTCCCTCTCTCCCTCAAATCAATAAAGAAGATAAATAAATAAATAAAACTCGATGGCTCAGTTTCATTGGAGTTTCAAAGATGAAAATCTAATTTGAATTGGTTATGAGGAAAAAGGGAGGAGAAGAAGAGATGCGTCTTTTAAGGAATTTACTGTGAAAGGACACGAAGAAATAAGGTGGTGGCTGGAGGTGGGTGTGGTGGGTAAAGTTTTCTTTAAGATGTCAAGCTGACCCAGACAAGCAGGAAAATGAATACTTCTAGGTGAGAGAGGATAAGGATCTCGGTACAAGCAGAAGTGTTGGCCGTAGTCCGAGCACAGCTGGCGCTGCAGTAGCAGGAGACAGGTTTTATGTTATGAAAGAGCAGGTCTCTCCCGCCACCACCACCTCTTGGTGCAGAGGCGCGAGGAGTTTCAGCAAGTTTATGGGAAACACAGGCCCTTGAACAAGAACTTGAGTACTGCAGGTGGTTCTGATGAGGTTGAGCAATCTCAGAAAACCTTCAGGCCCAGATGACCATCATGTGTGGTACGAAGTTATGGGTGATAGACTGCTCCTGTGTTCTCATTCACTGATCAGTAATTTATTGTATTAATAAATATTCATCATTTTATTTCTAGGCTCAGCATTACTTAACTATAGTGATTATTCTCTTGCCATAGTGTTACATTTTATTGGCTAATATTGATTTAGACATTTTACATTTTTAATTATTAAGTAAGATTACTGTATTACTTCTTCGGTTACCAGTAACTGACTTTATTATAAAGTCATGAAATGAATTAGCTAATTTTTTATATCTTTATGGTCTAGAATATTTTATATAGCATGAAAATTATCTATTCCATGACCTGTGAAGTTATATGAGCAAGAACATGTTTTCTGTTTTATATTTTAAAACCTATGAGATTTTTTTTTATCCTCACCTGAGGACATTTTTCCATTTTTTGTTCAGATAGAGTGGGAGAGAGAGGGGGGGGGAGAGAGAGAAACATCCACATGAAAGGGACACATTGAGTGGCTGCCACCTGCACGACCCAACCAGGGCCGGGGACAAACTGCAACCAAGGTACATGCCCTCAGCGGGAACCAAACCCAGATCTCTCTGGACCGCAGGCTGACACGCTAACCGCTGAACCAAACTGGCCAGGGCATAAATCTATGAGATATTTTTTTAAAATACTCATTTTTATCATAAATTTTATATTGATTAACATACACATGCACAATATACTCTTAATCTCTGTGCTAAATATTTAGTTCAATTTTTCTATTTGATTTATATTATATTTTTATTAATCTGGATTTATATGCAAAAGATTTCCTATTTTATTTATCAAAAACATTTCCTCTCAAAATGGAAAGGGAGCCCACTCTATGGGAGAGCATAATTGCCAATGATACATCAGATAAGGGGTTAATTTCCAAAATATATAGAGTACTCATACAACTCAACAAAAGGAAGACCAAGAACCCAATTAAAAAATGGGCAGAGGACCTAAAGAGACACCTCTCCAAACAGGACATACAAATGGCCAAGAGACATATGAAAAAATGCTCAACATCACTAATCATCAGAGAGACACAAAATAAAACAACAATGAGGTATCACCTCACACCTGTCAGAATGGCCTCCATCAACAAATCATCAAACAACAAGTGTCGGCGAGGGTGTGGAGAAAAGGGGACTCTAGTACACTGCTGGTGGGAATGCAGACTGGTGCAGCCACTATGGAAAATAATATGGTGTTACCTCAAAAAATTAAAAATTGAACTGCCATTTGACCCAGTGATCCCACTTCTGGGAATATATCCTAAGAAGCCTGAAACACCAATCAGAAAGAATATATGTACCCCCATGTTCATAGCAGCACTATTTACAACAGCTAAGATCTGGAAACAGCCCAAGTGTCCATCAGTACATGAGTGGATAAAAAAGCTGTGGTACATATACACAAGGAGGATTATGCAGCTGTAAGAAAGAAAGATCTCTTTTCCTTTGAGATGACATGGAAGGACCTGGAAAGTATCATCCTAAGCAAAACAAGCCAAACAGAGAAAGAAAAATATCACATGATCTCACGTATTGCTGAAATATAATGAACTAAACAAACTGATGAACAAACTAGACCCAGAACCATAGAGGTAGGGTACAGACTGACAATCCTCAGAAGAGGGGTGGGGCAGGGAAGGGATAAACCACAGAACTTATATGCATGTGTGCATAACTGATGGACATAGACAACAAAGCTGGGGACAGAGTGGGGGAGATAGGGAGGAGGGTGTCAATGGGGGTAAAAACGAGAAACATCTGTATCAATAATAAATTTAAAAAATAAAAACATTCATGGACAACAATCTGGGGAAGGGGCAGGGAGGGGAGGGGGAGGGGGGAATCAGTGGGGGGATAAAGGAGAATCATCTGTAACAAAAATTAATCAATAAAAAATAAATAAAATAAATTAAAAATAAATAAATAAATAAATAAAAACATTTTCTTAAACCATTCTAGTTCTGTTTTCTAAATTGTTTATTTCTCTTTGAATATTTATTATTTTCTTTCATCTGTTTTCCATGGGATAATTATATATAGACAGATTTAAAATAAATCAAGTTGAATGCTTTATTAATTTTCCTTTACTAGTTCTTAATAAATAAGCATTTAACATTATGAATGTATTACTTTTGACTATAATTCTAGATGTATCTTTTCAGTTTTCATGATTGGTACATTTGTTGCTTTCTAAATAGGTATAGATCATGTTTTTTTGTTTGTTTTCCTATGTGGTATAATAGTATTTGGGGAGGGAGAATGTGTTTTTAAAATTATCTTATGATTAAAATTTTAAACTTTTATTTATATCTAATTATATTCTATAATTTGCCACAAAGACAGGCTTGTTCGATTTTCATTTTTTTAAAAATTTTTTTCCCTTTATTGATTTTAGAGAGAGGAAGGAAGAGGGAGAGAGAGATAGAAACATCGATGAGAGAGAGCATCGATTGGCCACCTCCTGCATGCCCCTCATTGGGAATCGAACCCACAACCTGGGCACGTGCCCTGACCAGGAATCCAACCGGCAACCTCCTGTGCATGGGTTGACGTTCAACCACTGAGCCACACCAGCTGGGCTCAATGTTCATTTTATAACTAATGGTATTGAAGTTTACTTTGTTTGTGGCAAATATTACAAATGTTCTAAGAATTGTTGAGAAAGATGTATTTTCTTTTAAGAGACTACGAGGTATATAAAAATAGTCATATTTACATTTGTTAATTATAAAAGTCAGATATTTTATATCCTAATGACTTACTTTAAAAAATTTGCCTAGCCCTGGCCAGTGTGGCTCAGCGGTTGAGCATCGGCCTGCAGACCAGAGAGTCCCGGGTTTGGTTCCCGCTAGGGGCACGTGCCACAAAAATAAATAAATACATAAAAAATAAAAAAAAATTGCCTAGTAGATGTTGTCTATTCAGTTTCTCTTTGAATGTCTAAAACATTTTCCTTGATTTTTTTTCTGTTAGCATTGTTAGTTATGTCATAGTTATTATAAAATGACTTTGTTATTCTAATTTGCCTTTGTCTCAAATTCCACTGTCAGTTATAACATTGCCAATTTTCCCTGATTTTAAAATAGTTATTTTATTTGAATATTACTTTTATTTGTGTCTCTTGTACACAGTAAACTATCAGATTTAGGTTTTTAATTCTTTGCCTACTTCATAAAAAGTACTCAATAAATATTTTGAAGTGATAGTTAACCTTGCTAAATTTATTTTGTCTTTTATTTTATTTTAGGTGGGCCATAAAACATGCCGGGACCAGTAAGCCGGGCCAGTGGAAACACTCCAAAGTTGAAAATCCTCTCTGGAACAAGCTTACCTACATGTGGCCAGTCCTTCCCAGTGGCCAACTTAATGAGGTTGTATTGCTCAGTATAAGACGTGGTTGTTGGGACTAAAGTTTTAGGGCCCAGTCAACGTTTATAAAAATTTCCATGCAGCTTTTGATTTGCAGTTGTTAGTTATAAGCGACTAATCAATTCTGTTGTTCTATCAATTCATTGGAGATAGACAGGGTCTCTACCATTAGAAAGCTAAATTAACCAGGTTTCTTTTGACATTTACTTTTTAAAAAATAAATTTTTTGCACAGTTTGAGCTGTATAGGCTGTGTATCAAAAAACGGGAAGGAACTGGAAGAAGGCAGACTTGGTGAATAGAGGACAAAGAAGGGATAAAGAAGAAACTCATATAAAAAGTTTGGGGTCCCAAAAATCAAGGCTATTTGTTGAGCCAGTTCATTCAGTTGTAAGGTCACTCTGAGGAAGGTCAGCCAGGCTGATGGAATGAGCCTGAAAATTAAGTCCAAATATTGAATCTAAGAAAACCATCTAAGAAACAGTATCCTGTGAGACTCAAATTCTTCTGTCATTCCTTGAGAAGAACTTCTCAGTGAAAACCAAGGGGAGATTAGGGAAATATGGACAATGGGAATTATTTTTGTGATGACTCCGACTACATTAATACCAAACTACCTCCTGGTGGTGACAGCTGATCTGAGAACTGATTTTATGCTGTTATTTCTGTTAAATACTGTTCATCCTAAAAGATAGTTGATACTGTTTTATGAGCGAATAGCACTTTTTATGTCTTAGATATTAGTATTTTTAAAATGTCAGAATCTTCTAAAAACAAGATGAATTAATTATTTTGGTTTATTTCATGATGAAGGTCACTGGAATAATTTCCAGGAACTCAAATTATTTTCTCACCTTTTGGGAGAAAGGCTGTAAATTGAGACGTTCTACTTCTAACCACTTAATAGAAAGGAGCAATGGGTTTTTGTATTCTGGAATAAAATCAGTACTAAAAGTGAGTCTAAAGAGGCTTAAAATTTTGGAATGAGCCTCTTAAAAGTGATTTTAAATTTTCTAAATTAAAATATATCCATTTGGAGTGGCACATGTTAAAAAAAAAAAGAAAGAAAGAAAATTGAAAGCACACATTTTATTAACCTGTTAAGAGATGATGATAATTGCCCTGGCCAGTTTGGCTCAGCGGTTAGAGCGTCAGCCTGCGGACCAGAGAGTCCCGGGTTCAGTTCCCGCTAAGGGCACGTACCTCTGTTGCAGTTTGTCCCAGGCCCCAGTTGGGTTCGTGTGGGTGGCAGCCACTCACTGTGTCCCTTTCACATCGATGCTTCTCTGTGCTTCCCTTTCTCTCTTCCTCCCTCTCTCCTTCCCGCTCTGAAGATAAATGCAAGATAAATGCAAAAATGTCCTCGAGTGAGGATAAAAATAAAAAAAAGAGATGATGATAATGAACTATAATTATAAAGTGGAAAAAGGGATATGTAGGAAGGCTAAAGAGAGAAACTTAAAGAATCTATTAGTTTATTAACTCTATTAGTTTATTAACAGTAAACAGATGAAGGAAGGCCAATCTGCCTAAGAGTTTCACATACACTTGGGAAGGTTGAAACCCATGAGGATTTTTTGCCTCTTTGGCTGGGTTTCTGCGATGCCTTACGTTAAGAGACCCTTGGGCTTCTCGGTCCAGTGGAGAGCAGGGAGCCCGCTGGAGTCGGCGCTGCAGGGGCAGAAGTCGGGCCCGCACGGGTACCTCTTGTCAGCAGTCAGGTTCAGAAAGAGAAAGGATCTAAAACCAACTGGGAGGCGAGGCAGCACACTTCTGATGGTGCATCGGAATTATAGTATGCTCAGGGAATTCGAAAAAAGAGTCTTAGTTTTATATCTTAACTATATGAACTGGCAGGTCTCACAGACTAGTTTTAAGAAAAAAAAACTCGTTTCTCTTGCTTTTTCCTTCCATGGTTCAGAAGGAAAGAAGGGCTTCATTCCATGTGAGTTGTTTTTTAATGAGAAGACTGCTTTCCTCTATCTCTATCACTTATCCAACCCTCGCTTCGTGAGTTTGTCTAAAATGTTGATTTGCTCAGAATTGCTTAATATCTTTGTTGTAGAAGAGTCACGAGTCAATCCCAAAATTAGTTCTTGAAGAGTTATGAATCCCACTCCTCTTGTCATAGTAAGTGTAACCTTTATACACTAGGAAAGCTTCAAAACACACCACGCACTCCCTTTTCATAACCTCTAGTGTTTCTTCTCGGTAACAGTAGTGAGGGAAAGCGACCCCCTGCTGCTCCATTCATAATAATAGACACATACCTACATAAACACTGTCTGCCTTTGTGTTTCAATTCCATACGCACAACAGGTTCTCAGTGAAGGTCAGGAATACAATAAAACTTCATTAATTCAAATTTGCTCATTTAGAAGTGTGATAAGCTAACCTCATTGTATACCACTATTATGAATGCATGTATATTTATATTAAAAATATAAAAGAAAGCCCTGGCCAGTTTGGCTCAGCAGTTAGAGCGTCGGCCTGCGGTCCCGAGAGTCCCGGGTTTGGTTCCCGCTAAGGGCGCGTACCTCGGTTGCAGTTTGTCCCCTGCCCTAGTTGGGTCGTGCAGGTGGCAGCCACTTGATGTGTCCCTTCATGTCGATGTTTCTCTCTCTCTCTCTCTCTCTCTCTCTTCCTCTCTCTCCCTCCCACTCTGTCTGAACAAAAAATGTCCTTGGATGAGGTTAAAAAAAAATATATATATATATATATGGAAAAACATTAGACTGACACTGTACTCATGGTTTTTAAACATTTATTCATACTGTTTTCCCCCTAGTTACACACAATGAATGTTATTTACTTATTCATCTCACAAATTAGAGCATTATAATTAGATACTGTTTCAAAATATTTAATCTGCACAACTTTCAGATATTGTTTATAATATATTCAAAATGCAGTTTCCTAAACTGCGTGATTGTTCAGTATAACTGCAAGACTTGAACACGTTTTTCAAGGGAATATAAGTTAGTAAATTATTCCCTTTTGTCCTAGCTTTTAAAAAAATGTTCTCCGCGTCCGTAAACTAAGACCAGGTGCACTTGGCCAGCACATCTCCCCACCCACACGATCGCTGTCTCTGCCGCCCGGACCCTCGGACCCCCTCTGTGGTGCTGGGCTCAGCTTTGGGCCTGCTCAGCACGACTCGCCCCTTCTCCGGGTCTTTGTACCCACATCCCCTTTAGGAAACTTCTTCCACATCTAGTTCATGCGATTGTGGTGTTTGCTTGGGCTCCTCAGAAAGCGGAGCTTGAGGCAAATGGCTGATGTGCTGCTCCTTTCTTAGGAACCACAGTCCCAGGGAGCGACAGGAAGGGACAAGCGGGGAAGGAGGGCCAATGTGAGACTGTGTCATCAAGCTGTCCTCCAAGGAGCCATTTCAGCAGTGTTCTTAGGAGAGCCTCTCCCGGAAGAGAAAGCGGGAAGAATATATCCATAGCTTCTGTCGCTCTTTGGTCAAAGGTCTGCCCAAGGTCATGCACCCAGTTGTGGGTCAGAGACTCAGTCGCAGGAAGTCTGGGTCCAGAGCCCAAGCTCTTGGCCATTCACAAGATGTTCTCATGAATGTTAGCCCATGACAAGGAGAGAGCAGAAGCAGGAGTAGGGGAGAGGGAATATTAGAGCGTGGGACAGGGCAGGGTTTGGAAATTTCCCATTGAACTGGGAAGGTTTCTTTAAGGTCATATTTGCGTCAAAGACCTGAAGAACAAACAAATCCAGGAAACATGCCAGGGACATGCAGAGAGCCTGAGACTATGCTTATGAGGAATGACAGCAGCAGTGTGAGTGGGGGGACAGCAGCCCGAGGTAATGGAGAGAGAAAAGATGGGGTGCAGATCACACGGAGCTCGGGCTATTGAAGACCTGTGGCTCCTACTCTGAGGTGGGCAGCCCCTGGACGGTTGGGAGCAGACAGGTGGTACATTCATTAGGATAAGAGGGCAAAGGGGGGCTAAGGTAGAATCAGGAATAAACAGAAGGCTTTTGCCATCTCTGGGTAGTGGGAGCGGAGGTGATGAACAGTGGCTGGGTCCGTGATGTTTTGAAAGTGGAAGCAGGTTTTGCTTGTCGTTAATTTACAAATAAGTATATAAATAATTAGAAAAGATCTTATATTGGGAAATTTTTAAAGATATTTTAACTAACTCATAGGACAATGAAGAAATCATAATGAAAAATTTTAAAGGAAATATCTAGAACCAAAGTAAAATGTGTGGGATGTGGATAAAGCATACTTGAAGGAAATGTATAACCTTAAATACTTATACTGAAAAAGAAGAGGTTAAAAATTAATGAGATTGAATCCAACTTGAGAAGTTAGGAAAATAATAGCAAAATGAGCTCAAAGAATTAAAAGAAAAAAATAATAAGAGGAAAAATTGATACATATGAACCAGAATCAACGAAGTCAAAATTGTGTCTTTTAAAGTATTAATAAAAAGGATATACCTGGCTCAACTGATTAACAAAAAAAGAGTAAAGGTAAAGAAATATTAGGAATGAAGGAAAAATCTAAGTATAGATGCCAAGAGATTTAAAATATAATACAAGGATATTATAAGTAACTTCATGATAATAATTTAAATAAATAAAATAATCAAATTCCTGGACAAAAGTAATTTAACAAAATGAGATAAAGAAGGAATTGAAAGCCTGAATAGTCCAATAATTATAGAAGAAGTAGAATCAGTAGTTAAAATCTCCCCACAGGGAGTACACCATGACCAAATAGTTTTATTGGCAAATTCTACTAAACATGAAAGAAACAAATATTTCAGGATATTGTAAAAGAAGCAAGACTTCCAACTCATTTCATGAAGCTAGGATAAACTTGATACTAAATTTTGATGAGGATTGTATAAGAAAATTACACTGAATTTCATTTATGAATGTACATGCAAAATCCTAAATAAAATATCAGCAAATTGAATCCAGTAATCTACTAAAAAGATAATACATTGTGACCAATTTTGATTGCTTCAAAAATGCAAGTTTAGTTTAAAATTTAAAAACTCAATTAATATAATTAACACATAGCTGATGAGAAGGTAGATAATCAAATGAGCACATTTCAATAAATGCAGGAAAAAAAGCTCATTATCCAACATGCATTCCAGAAAACAAACCTTAACAAAATGGGATTAACAGGAAATTACTTAACCTGCGGCAGAGCATGTATATCCCAAACAGGCTTTTTAAAACGAACCAAACTGATTCTTGAATGTACCTGCAATAGCAAAGGGCCAAAGAGAGACAATTCCCAAAGAATAGCAAGGTGGGGTATTTGCCCTCCCAAACATCAAGACTTACCAGATATAACAACGGCAGCACGGTATATACTAGGGCAGAAAAATTGACAAATTGAAGAGAACAAAACACACAGAAACTGGACCCATACTTATATGGAATTGTGATATTTTACAAGGTGATTACTGCAGATTAATAGGGAATTAATTGCTGCCAGGACAATTGTTTATTCAGATAGAAAAGAAAAAGAAAGAAAGATGCCCTAGCCTTTTGGCTCAGCAGTTAGAACGATGGCCCTAAGGCCAAAGAGTCTGGGGTTCGATTCTGGAAAAGGGCATGTACCTCTGTTTCAGTTCAGTCCCTGGCCCAGCTCAGGGTCGTGCTTGAGGCAACCAATCAATGTGTCTCTCTCACATTGATGTCTCTCTCTCTCTCTCTCTCTCTCTCTCTCTCCCCCTCCCTCCCACTCTATCTGAAGAGAAATGGAATAATATCCTCAGGTGAGGAGTTAAAAATAAAAAGAAAGAATGAACTTGGACCTGCCTAACATCATCCTTGATCCCCCTTATTTCAGGTTGTAAAACCACTTTTCACACATTCTTACTTTCCTCATATTAAAGGTATTTTACACATGAAGGAAAACATTCCAAGTTAATTCAGTTCTATTTTTCTAGGACGATGTTTCTCTGGAAGGGAATAAATCTTCCATGTTGTAATACAACACAGGTTTTACATACACTTAAAAAATTACTATCCTTCCTCTTTATTCAAATAAAACTTTAGACTTGTCTGGAACATCTTAGGTGCCCAATACATGTTTGATGAATGAATGAAAGATTAAAGATATCAGCAGTGTGTTACATTGTTTTGTTTGTTTGTTTGTTTATTTTGTATCCAGAAGCAACTCTTCTTGTTTATTGTCAAATTTTTTGTCACTTCTTTCTGAAGGAGTTCGAGTGGCCAATAGAAGGACTGCTTATTCCAAACAGCCCCTCCCTGAAGAAACCCGTGTGTAGGTCACCTGGGCAGAGCATCCCCATGAGACTCCGAGTTCTGCGGAATGGAGACAAGAATAAAAACAGAGCCCTTGTTGTAACCAGTCCAGACATCTCCCCTAGACAAAGACAAAAACTGCAGTAAGGACTTGTTCATCTTTCTCACTAAACATACTTCCTAATTTCTACAGATTTTGGTCTTCTTGATTATGGATGTTTTCCTGAGAGAATTCTGTGTTTATTTTTTGAAAAGGGTGCCCATGTTGATATTTGGAGATGAAAACTGATACTAAGATTCATTTAGTTTCTAAGTCAGGAAATATTTGAACTCTGGATTTAGGCTCGGCATGGCATAAAGTAATGAATTAGAAATCAGCAGTTCTGAAAAAATTTCTATCAATGTGTATTTTGAATCAACATTTTTTTTTTTGCTTGAGTTTTGTTAATGTATTTTAAAACTGGGCTCATAAATTGCTTCTTAAATATAATTTTACAGTTCGTTATTAAAGTCATTATTATATGCAATTTTTAACCTTTATACCTTTGGCATATTTAACAAGTAAATATAGTTCTCAAAATATAACTTTATATAATTTTATATTCTTGACTTGGAATAACGTTTTAAAAGTTCATCATAGAAAAGCATCTATCTGTGCTTTAGCTTATGGTAGGAGATTTGAATAAAATCTTCCCAAACAGCCAGTATTTCTCCAGCATTGAAGAAAAATCACCTGCTCTATTTTCTTTACATTTTATGACAAAAGGAATCATAGATCAGTGCAAAGCTCTGAAATACAGAATGAGTTAAACACATTGTTTCTCATATGATTAGCAGTGATATTACCTCTTGACCTTTCTTTTGAGATGTTTAGAATATTTGAGGCTGCTGATAATAGTTTAATATAACTTTCTTCACATTGATTAAATATACTTCATACATCGCTGAACAATGAGTAACATTCAGATCGCTGTCCACTGAACTGCCTTGTAAAGATGATAAAGTAAAAAATTAATCTCCAAAGTAAAGTCAAGCCTGAAATTGAAATCTTTGACGCATACATTTCATAATTAGCTCATTCTACTAGATGTAAAATGTGAGGGTAATGCCCTTAAAGTAGTATATGACTTATTTTAGCATTCAAACTTAACAAATAATTTCTGTCTTTTCCAACATTTATTTTTCCTTATTCTATATCTTCATGGTTCAAAACTATATACAGATTTTGTCTTTTCTCATTAACGTTTTATAATGCATGGTTCAATAAGGTAATCCAAATATAATTTGAGAAATGTATTCATTTGGACAGCTATTCTTAGTGAAACTCTGTGCTGTCTATGTTCATGGAACAGTGTGTCCTGGCTAATCAAATGTTCACTTTGTTCACTACATGAGTTAATTACTTCCAAATAATTAAAATACACTGGCATACACTTGACTCTAAAACTCTACCAAATATAATTTAATTTTTCTTGGCTGATTCAGAAAGTTTTCTATAGGAGCATCAACAGCATTTCCCCCAGAGCTGTAAGTCCTGGTAACAGAGAGATTGAATGGAAGGAGATTTCGCTGACATTACAGGGAGGCTGTGCCGCCCAGCTCGGGTGGCACCCCAGCGCTGTGCAAGGGGGAAGCCCTGCTGTGCCACTTTTAACATATTCAAGGCAGATACCTTCTCTTCCAGAATAAATACATGCAAATGACATGTAGGGGTAAACTGCTTGCATTAACCTGAAACTTACTTATAGGAAGAAAGAGGGTTGGGCTACTTAGTGTCTTTACAATCAGGTCAGAGTGATGAAATATAGATTCATTTTAACCAAATCCTGCTTTGATAGCATGCTATCCTTTAGTTCTTTAATAATTTACTCTTGACAGTTGGAGGGGCTTTCACTTAGTTCATGGTTATCTTAATGAGTAACAAAGTCTTGTCAAATAGTCTTGATAATGGCTGTCAAATTTACACAAATTAAGACCATTGTGATTTCTGTGCCACAGGTGAGTTTCATCTCTCAGAACTGTAAACAAAGCTGAATAAATATAATTTTATAAGTGATAGTTTAAGAAATTGTAAGAGGAAAGGCTCAATTTGAAGCTATAAAGTAAAACTTTATGTTTTTGATCATTTCAATGAGTAAATTATTAGTAAATTGTAATCCTGGACTCACTCAAACTCCTCCGTACAGATTTATGGCTTTTGTGGCCTGTCCCTGCACATTTCTCTAGCTGCATGTTATCAACATTCCCCCCAATGTCTACTCTTAAATGCTCTCCACCCCCCAACACCCCCCATATACCTCAGTAATAAAGGTCTTCTGGGGACACATTTGGACTTCATTGCTTGGTGTTGACTCTGAATTCAACACTTCCCTCCCCATCCCTGAGTTAGCTGTAGCTTCTATGTACTTTCTTGCTTTCCACCACCAGAGCTCCTATCACCCTGTATGATTTTCCACGTATGTCCCCATTCAGCAGACAGAGAACCCGGATAACGTGCAAGTCATCCACGTGTGTGCTGTCTGCTACAGTGTGGCCATGGGCATTGTGTCCTGGTCAATCGACTATTAAGTCACTTTATTCGCCACATGATTTAGGGAACACAATAGGCCTTAAATCAGTGCTTAAGAAACAAATGAATGAATGAAGTAATGGTTAATTATATTTGATTACTCTTTTTAATAAATGAATGAATGAGCAACTATATTTGGTCACTATTTTTTTCATTTAATAAAATGTAGAAATTGAAAAAATACACAGAATAGTTTTCTAACTTGAAAGTTTGAAGACATGTATATTCCAATTAAGCATCCTTTTTCTATGATCATCATTATGTGTTTTTCAGTTAAACAAATTTTAGGTTTGAATTGATTGCCTATAATATATGAATAAACATATGAATATGAAAACGATATGAATAAAACATCCCAGGAAAAATAAATATCATCTCTGAATTTTCTTTAAGCATGATAAATTCACATTTCAGAAGAGGATTAAAATACTGAAATTGTATTTTCCTATATAAATTGCTCATAGTATAAATGTTCATGAAGTTTAATATTTAATTGTGATAGTTTTTGAAACTCTACTTTTCAAAGAAAGACAAATTACTTTAGGGAAAATTATGATAAATTAATACATGACTTTTTCACATATTTAAACAAGTTAAAAGATAATTGGCAATACATACTGACATATCAATCAAATCTTGGATCATTTGTTTCAGAAATGTTGGCACTGAAATGAAAGAGAATGTGAAAAACAATGTCTCTAAATATTCTGAAACAGAAACAAAGCAGAATGAATTGCATCAGCTTTTGGAAAGGTAAATACTTACTATCCTGAATGCAATGGTGTTTTCCATTCAAATGCCGGAAGGATCATGTTCTATGCAGAACACAAAATACATATGTACCGACATGAGAAAGCATTTGTTACTATAATAATTTTAGAGTTTTTAATCTGTGAAATATATCAACTATGTGAGTTCACGGTACCACTGATAATTAATACATTTTACCCCAAGTTTCAAGGCAATTTTCCCAGCTTCTGAACTATAAACTCTGCAAATACAAATTATTCCCATTAAAAAATATATTTCATAGTTTTACAGCACGTTTTGTTGGTTTGTGTTTGAATTGAGGGCAGGATAGTTAACTACTTTAAATCACTTTTTATATGTCACTAATATATCTTATTTATAAAATGTTATAATTTTCTTTTGATCAATATTTTCCTAACTAAACAAAAATTCTTTTCATTAAATTTGATAACTGTTCAAGGTAGAGCACCTATTATAAATTTTTTTGGGTAAAATATGTCTTATTGAATATGAGGAGGCAGTCTTATTGAATTTAAGGAAAATTATGCTATCTTTTAGTTAATTAACAATTTACACATAACATTTTGAGGATCTTTTAAAATTATTGTTGGTTCTTCCATCTACAAAGCCTAAGAAAGATCTAACAGTATGACAGCCCACTTAAAAATAATAGATACAGCCCTGGCCGGTTTAGCTCAACCGTTGGAGCGTCAGCCTGCGGTCCAGAGAGACCCGGGTTCAGTTCTCGCTAAGGGCACGTACCTCGGTTGCAGTGTGTCCCCAGCCCTGGTTGGTCGTGTGGGTGGCAACCACTTGATGTGTCCCTTTCACGTCGATGTTTCTCTCTCTGTGTCTCTTTCTCTCTCTCCCTCCCACTCTATCTGAACAAAAAAATAGAAAAATGTCCTCGAGTGAGGATAAAAAATACACAACAGAAACTGAACATTTTTGTTGATACCTAAAGTTGCAGGAAACATGGCATATTGAAAAGACCGTTGGATTAAGAGGAGAGGGAACTGACCTCAATCTCGGGTTTGCTCTGACGTTGCTGGAGAACCGCGGGGAAGCACTGACTGCCCTTCTCCGTCTCCTCCTCTTCGCCACACGGGATGGTTGAATGAAGAGCCAAGAGGAAAGAAAGAAAGAATTTGATTCTTTCAACATCTGTTGCATTCATAGCATGTGTATCCACCAGTCTTAGATGTTCAGCAGGAGATTTTTTTTATCAGGGGAGGACATACTTTGCTGTCAGGAAACTCCTAGCTTGGTGGGAAGAGAGTCTGCTTATTGAAACAGTCAGAAAGGCAGTTTTAATTGTACAGAGAAGAAAATGATCGAAGAATCACTTTATCTATAACCAGGAAGGAAAGAGAACTTGGTGAGGGGTAGCTGTTGGGGAAGGCCACACAGAGAGGAGAGAATATGAGAAAGATATAAAAGTGAAGAGATGTAAAGCAAGAAGGTAAAGTAAAGGAGAAAGCACATACCCATAGCTTTTTGTACATTATGTTAATGTTTTAAATAACAGGGAAAGCGTGGTGAGGCTGCAGGGGAGGGGATCCTCACAGTGATGGAGGAAGGCAGGCTCCACCATTGCAGAGCTGTGGCTCCTAGCTCCTCCCCCTGCCCTTAGCCCTCAGGGCATCCCGGGTTGCATTGAAATACAGTCTCAGGGACCAGCACCATCTGATGCTCCTCTACCGCTCCAGTTAGAGGAAGGAGAGTAAAAAACAAGACTCTGCTCCTCTGGACTCTAAATCCAAGCAGGCCACACTGTTACCCATCCTAGCTCCTGGTGTGCACGTCAGAGGACTTCATTCCTGGGGCCTTTGCTGGCACTAAGGGAGAAATCCTGGCCAGCTGGCTTAGCATCCCAGCCTCTCTGCTCACTCTGTAGATCTGATATCTTATTATTCTGTGATGTCCTCTCGGGAAGCCACGTGATGGAGTAAAAGAGCCAGAGATCCTTAGGTTCGAATTATAGCTGTCCTAATGACCAGTGATATGGCCGTGAGCAAGAAACCAGGCTCAGTTTCCTCATCAGAAGAATGGGCCCTCAGAAGTGAGAATTAAATGAGAACGTAGACATGCAATGCTTGCAGTGCTTGGTCCATTTTAGCAATTTTGCTGATTTTTATGTGCCAGGAGTTTTAGAGGTATCACACATTGAATCTGTAAAAATCCCTATTAGAAAAGAACTGCTACATCTGTCTTTTACTAGCGGAGCAAATGAGGCTCAGAGAAGTTTAGTGACTCCAGAGTCCACATTCCTTATTAAGCACTTAAAAGCCATTTTTTTTCGGTCCTCTTCCCATTTGTATTGTCTGACATGTGGTAGTTAGAGAAATAGAGAAACGGCCTATCCCAAAACTCTCCAACCCACCTACATGAGCCCGTCAAACCCAGCGCTATTAAAATGTGCATGGGAGCAGAAAATGACGGTACCTCTTCTTAGGTCCGATGGAACTGCTTGGCCCTAAAAAGATATTGATTTGAGGAAAGTAGAAAGAATGAAATTGGGTCTTTGGGTGGTACCGAAAGAGAATCAGGCAAATCTTGTTGCTGGGGCCCAATCCTCTTACAGTCCTTCCTGCCCCATCCCGCCAACTCGTGCAGATGTGAGACGCAGCCCAACCCTCTCTGGTTCATCAGCTCCCAGACGTGTGACATGAGAAGCAGAAATCTAGTTCCCACTAGTTTATTTCCTTCTAAGATCTCTCAGAGAAATGGAGGCCTAATGATCTGCTCAATTGCTTTTTCTCATCTATGGAAATAAAATTGAGAAATATCCTTTGTACAGCTAAGTCTTCCTGATGAGCAGAAAGTCACGTCTAATCCAATTCGTCTGCTATAGACAGTATGTTCTAATATGAAATACATTTAGCGAGAACTTTTCTTCTTCAGTGTCAGGGTCTTTAGGAAAAGCCTCATCACCCTCCTTTAGCTCAGCCTCCTCTTCCTCACAATTCTGCCTCTACCTCCGACCTAAGCTGGCTCTTAGGTCCCAGCCTCTCCCACCTCCAGTCCACCTTCCACCTTTCTGACAGGTAACATTCTAAAAGCAGAGCCGATGACACCACACCTCTGCTCTAATACCATCAATGACTTCCTGCTGTTTATGGGATAGAGGCCACGTCATTGATTTAGCAACCTAAACGCTTTCAATCAGTTCCTGTTTTCTTTTCCAGCTTCCTCTGGCTCCTCCTCCTCTCCATAGGCTCAGCTCCATCCATAAAAAACTTCTCTAGGTCATAACCCTTCCCGATGAACGCCTATTCATCTGTCAAGGCCCAACCCAAATGCTACTTCCTTAGACACGCCTTCCTGGAGGAATTCATCATTTTCCTCTGTATTCTCACAGGGTCCTGGCCAGGTGCCTACAACAGCACCCACTACTTCATATTACATCCAGTTGCTGACCCGTCTCTTCCCCTGACTGGAGAGGGAGCTCCTCAGGGAACAGGGAAACGGATAATTCATCTTGACATCCCCAGGGCTGGCACAGTGCTTGTTTTGGGGTGGGGTGGATCACTGTTTAATGTTCGACCAAGCAAAAAATCCCTATTTCTAAAGAAATTAAAGAGCTATAAAGATCAATGAATGTGACTTTGGAGAATTCAGAGAAAGAGTAGAGCTTCAACAGAAAAAGCTAAGGAAGGTGTTTTTGGTAGAAGGAAGCACAAGAAAATGGAAAGTGTGGGGCATTTTGAGAAATAAGAAGTCAATAATGATATATCTGCCTGTTTATTGATCATGCCTGGCATTATACTAAGCACTTTTTAAAATCAACTGATTATCCTCATACCAACTCTGGAAAGTAAGTAATTTCGACCTCTAGAGTTTGAAGAACGCCCATGTGCAGAACTCGGAAAGGGAGAACAGGGCTCCAAAGCAGGCTGATGGGCTCGGAGCCCAGCTCTGGACACACGCAGGCTGCAGAGGGAGTTGTCATTAATGATCCGGGTCCTTGATCCCTTTTATCTTTTCTCTTTTCTGCTGGAAGTTTTCTGTATGTAATTTCGTGTCTCTCATTACAGGTGTACTGAAATTTTAAATTTACCTTCTGCAGCTCGGAGATTGTTCAACGAACAGGGGAAGGAAATCTTCACCGTAAAAGGCCTTCAAAGAGATGAACTGGTAAAGACATGAACGAGAAACTGGAACTAGTAATATATGAATACTGTTAAAAAAGTTTTCAAAATAGAAGATAAAACTTCAAACATTTACCCTCTTTCCCCTCATTTTTTTTCCCCTCAGACTTATCCTAACTTAGCAACCATCAGAGAGTAATACTAACAGCTACCTGTTGAGAGCCTACTCTGTGCCAGGCCTGGTTTTCAGGGCCGTCTATGAATTAACTCATTTAATGCCCATCACAGCCCTATGAGAGGGATGCTCTCATTTTGTAAATGAAGAAGGAGACCAAATTATTAACTGCCGGTGATTTCTATCTTACTCTGGAGGAAGTAGATTCTCCCATTTTTGAGGCCTTCAAAATGTAGTTGTTTAATGATTTGTTACTTAATGATAAGGTTACCTTTTCAGGAAAAAAAAAAAATCACATCTCCGTTTCACACATTCTGTTCGGGGGGCTGGAGAAGGCTGAGCAGGAGGTGTCCAATTCGAAAAGAAAACTTGCCTTGACTGATGCCTGAAATTCTTCAATCAGAAAAGCAAACTCCCACCACGTTGTCAGGGCCAGTTCAGGCTCTGAGCATGAGGACCCCTCGAGAGAGTGTCCCACAGAAAGGCCAGTGACCAGCTCAGAGGCAGTGTGAGAGAGAGGAGGAGTCTGTTGTTCTCGGAGGCTGGCAGATGTGGTTTTGAATTCTAGTGCTGTAGCTAGCATTTGCTGCAGTGCTCATTTACTGTTAGCGCAGGAGGAGTTTCACAGAGGTGCATGTAATTTAAAGCAAGTAGATGCGGACACCAGGGACGCACGCGTGTCGGAGGATCGGACGGAGCCAGGAGTGAGTGTTGTAAGATCCAGGTTTTCACTGCAGTGAACCCGTCACTGCTCTGTGCAGCCAACGTGGAGATCAAAACACGAATAGTCGCGTGATTAAGTAAGGAAAAGCGAGAAAAGAAATCTGTTGTTCAGAAAGGAAATTTTGAGAGTACTTCCTGAGTCGTCGTTTATTTGTTTAATAATCAGTGAGCGGCTTCAGAAGAGGCAGCACGGGTCCTTTTCTCCTCTTACTGAATTTTCTCAATGTATAGAAAACTCTCTCTTTCTTTCTTACTTCAAAGAAATATGTGTTTGCTTAAGGAGATTTATCGAATACATATAAGCAAAATGAAAAAGAAAAAGTATCATCCATAATCTCAGTCTCTAGAAATATCCACTTTAATATTTTGGTGCATGTACTACAAGTTCATCTATATCAGTGGTTGTCAAACTTTTCCTGTGAAGGGTCAGATAGTAAATATTTACATACCATATGTTCTCTATAGAAACTCTGCCTTTGTAGCACAAATGCAGTCACAGACAACATGTAAATGAATGAGCATAGCTGTGTTCCAATAAAACTTTATTTAAAAACAGGCAGCGGGCCAAATTGGGGTCTCAGTTGTAGTTTGCAACACCCTGTTTTACAACTACCTACTCCCCTCTCCTCTTTTCCTTCTTCCCTTCCTCCCTCTTTTCTTCTTTACTTTTTCTCCTTCCTTTAAAAATATTTTAAAACATTTTTTATTGTGAAATAATTATAGATTCATAAGAAGTTGCAAAGATAGTATGCAAAGTGCATACTTTTCTCATGCAAAATGCCATCAAAGCAGTTGCATTTATCAACTGTTTCTGCCTTTGTAATTGCTGAGTATTATTGCATGGTGCCAGTTTAACTACTAATCTATTGTAGGAAGTTTTGATTGTTTTTGGTTGTGGCTATGGAGATTAATGCTGCTGCGAGCAATTGTGTATGGGATCAGAGGTTCATTGCTTTGATAGGTCTATGCTTCATGTGGAGAACATTGGATCAACCCTGACCTGTCCATTGCTCATCAAAAGAAGCAAATCTTGCTGAGGAACTTAGCATCGGATATTTCTAAAATCCAAACTTTCTGCAGTACACGTAAGATAGAGGGTAAGTGTGGGAATAATTTACCTCAATGTATACAGCCAAAATAAAATACTTGATGGTAGTGCTTTCAAATAAAAAAAGGGGTTTGCTCTTATTTCATTCCTGCATCTTACCGTTCTTTAGACTAATACTTATTTTCAACAGAGCTGCATATTTTAATTCACACCGCACTTTGGTTGTGCAAAGAAAACATCATCTGTCTTGTCTTTAACAAAGTGGGTCTCTTTGGGAGCTGCATGTACCCCCATCAAGGAAAACACAAGTGCCCAGTCAGGTTTAAATTTTATCCCATACATTAATTTACATAGTCCCTTTGGGGGGTGGGGGGACTTTCAGAGTTGCCAGTTTCCAGTCTCACTTTAGTTCCTCTCTAGGATGGAAGGAAAGAAGTTGGGGCACAGGTCCTCTTGCTTTCTGGGCCCTGCTGGCTGAAGTCTGTGGCTGGGTGGCGGTGTCCATTCTTTCGGCTCAGACAGTGCTTGGGTGGCTGCTGCTTCCTGCCTGCCCCAGCTTCTCCTCGGGTCCCCCTGGACCCCTGAAGCCTGGTTGCTATTGGGTAATCATCTGTGCAAGTCTTTGCTACAGGACCCCCTGATCTTTGTGTGGGCCATCTCTTCCGGGTAATTTTTTCTTATTTTTTTCGGTACGTGCCCCTAGTGGGAACCAAACCCGGGACTCTGGTCCGCAGGCTGAGGCTCCAACCGCTGAGCCAAACCGGCCAGGGCTTTTGGGCGCCCTCTTGTGTAAAGCGTCCCAGTATGGCTCTCAGCAAACCCTGGGTCACGCCGTACCTCCCAGAAACCAATTCCAGGTTCCGATTAGTGGCGTGTTGAAGGCTGCCATACGGCGCCTGAAAATGCGCAGTGTCCAATGCTTCGCTGGTATAGCTCAGACACCTGTGGGAATCATGACACCCCATGCTGGTCTCTGCCTTCCTTTCTTCTGACTCAAATCCCCCCCAGGCCCAGAAATTGTGGGTTTTCTCCAGGTCAACCCTGAGAATGCTTAAACCTTTGATATGCTAAACAGGCGCTAAAGGCATTTGGAAAGATCCTAAATCATGACAGTGTCATCCTGACTTTCATGGCCATTGTCCTGTGTTCTGCTTGAAAGTCAAAACTATCTTTGTACTTTTGATTTCCTCTGGTAGCATTTCTCATGCCTCGTGGTCTTCCTCCTTCCCTTAAGGCTGCCTCAGGCACCCTGAGCAAGGTCCTATATGTAGAACAGTAAAAAGGGAAAAGTATTAATATAACTTAAAACATTACCCTGCTGCATATATTGAACACTGTACAGTAAGCTTTGCATGTGTCTTTCAAAGGTTTGGGGACTTTCACGGAGGAGTTGGGACTCCAGAGAATGATTTAGAGACATATATCTAAATAATGTAGCCCATTTGCATAGTTAGAATTTACTATAACTTCCTTATTTTTGAGAAAGCTTACTATTTTGTCTAAGAACTTCTGAAGGGGAAAGAATCTGTAAAATTAAATTAAGTAAAATCCAATGTATTAGTTTAACTTTTTATTTACTGATTTTTTTTTAGAGAGTGGGCACTGCTATTTTATTTATGCATTCATTGGTTGATTCTTGTATGTGCCCTGACTGAGGATCGAACCCACAACTTTGGTGTATCAGGACAATGCTCTAACCAACTGAGCTACCTGGCCAGGGTCCTCCACTGTATTAGTTTTCTTTTTATTTTATTTTTGTAAATCCTCACCCAAGGATAGAGTGGGAGGGAGGGAGAGAGAGAAAGGGAGAAATATCGATGTGAGAGAGACACACCAACTGGCTGCCTCCTGCACAACCCTGACCAGGGCCTGGGACAAACCACAACTGAGACATATGTCCTTGACTGCAATTGAACCCGTGACTCTTCAGTCTTCGGGCCGACGCTCTAACCGCTGAGCCAAACCGGCCAGGGCTCCACTGTATTCGTTTAAAAAGCAACCATCAGTTACTTTTAGGATGTGTTCTTATATCGAACAACTGGAAATTGTCTGCATTTTTATTTTAGCATGTGCTTTCTAATTCTTAGTTCTCTGCACCCATAACGAACCTGTCCTTGCCATTTGTGCATTCTGCCCAGCTCTTGTTTTAGAAGTCCAGTGTGACATTGTGTCTGGAGCCAAGCTTGCTGTGTGTGAACCTGTAGCAAGTTTCGGAGAAGAGAAGCAAATTATAGAACCAGAGGAAGAGCAAGTGCAAAAAAATGCTTTAAAAACGGAAAGTGCTTCCAGTAAAAGTCTGTAAGTAGTCGGTGTGGCCAGAAAAGCTACCTGCTTAGTATTTGAACTCAGCTCATTAGCTTGATAACCGCACAGAGCCCAAGTCCGGAACCCATGCCAAGTTTGTGAAACGGATGTCAGGTGAAGAGCTAGTATTTAATTGGTTTCCTGGCAAAAGGATAGAGCTGCTGCTTCAATGTTCAACCATCACAGTGATCTACTTTCAGTAATTTTGTTATAATGCTGCTATTTTTTAAAGACTGCAATCTTAGAATTGCAGACATTTATTTGAAGAATTCATCATGTTTTGCTTCCATAAATGTAAACTTCAGGACCGCTTCTTCCCTAATGTAATTTCAGGTTGGGTACATGTTAATGTACAGCTATCATCCTGAACCTCCAAAATAGCTTTCTGATTGGCCTTGATCTCCACAATCATGTCCTCCCAATTCACCTGAAGTTCCATCTATGGACAGTTGTCTTTCTAAAACACAACTCTTTTTCTATAGTTCTTGAATGGCTACTTATACAGACAGAAAAAAAAAAAAATTTAGTCTGGAATCCTGAGCCTTTCTGACCCTGGTCCAGGCCAGTCATTGACCTCATGGGTACCGCCATGCCTGCCTCTACCCTGCACTATTTTCTTCCTGCCACTGACTGGACCTCCACCCTTCACCTCAGCAGCTACACACTGTCACCTGAACACGCATGCTCCATTCAGCACGACTGCAGGCCTCCGGGCCACGTATTCTTTTCTCTCCACCCCGAGTGCCTTGACTTGCTCCATCCTCACCGGTGGAACGATCTTTCATCACTGAAATCAATCATGGCGATGATCGTAGGTAGCAAGTTTCCACCCCCCTTACCACACAAACAGCCACCAAACTGAATTCCTTGAGGGCAAAAACTCTTGTCACGTGTCTTTTGTGAAGAGCTGGGTAACTGACTTTAATCATTATTTACTGAATACATAAAGTATTGAGTTTTCAAATCATAACCAAATAGCTGATCAATTGCCATTGTAATATCTGTGAAAATTAATTGATATAATCATTGTGATAAAATGTTCAAAGAGACTGTTTCTGTCCTTAATTATAAGAATATCAACTTTTAGGGATCAAACTTTCACATTTTGATGAGTGAGCCATCTGGTCCTAAGTCCTGACACCAACAGGGCACCAGAATGCCTTTCCCAAAGAGACCTATGTGGTATCTACCTCAATGGTTAGGGAACTGACCACAAATTTTCCCAACACTCCCTTTCATCCTTCTTCTAAAACATGTGTCATCTAGCCTCTGAGTTACTAGATTGCACTTGGGAAAAAAAATAAACAGAAACTAAGACAAAAGAAAAAAATCTTTGAGAGCAAAGATTCACAGTGTTGTGATTCATAGATCTCATCAACACTTGGAGTCCTGAAGGTAAAAGCGATTGAGTTCACTCAAAACATAATCCAGGAATCTCCTGCACATTCCAGCCAGGCCCTTTTGATACAGTCTTTTCTTGAATACTCCCAGTAACAGGAAGATCATTATTTCACAAGGCAGCCCATTTTAATGTTGAAATCATTATTTAGAACATCTCCATCCTATGACTTCATCTGTATCTCTGTACTACGTCCTATTCCTCTTCTACTTAAAAGTCCTTAAAATATTCAGAGCTCACCATCAGTAGTCCACTGGGTTATCTCTTTCACAGACTAACTTTCATTTGTTCTCTGAACCTTTTCTGATGACTTGATTCTAAATCATCTCACATTAGAGAGTCACCGTAAGATTTCCATAGATGTTCTTACGTTTGTTTGTTGGGCAGTTTTCACATATTTGGGAAGTAGAATGATTTAAGAAGGGACATCTATAAAGCAAAAGACTAGAATATAAATCTGGAAGGAACCTTTTGATAGCTGAGTTCTGTGAAAAGATTTCTGATAAAATGTTAAGAAGCACAGTGAAAAGGAACCTCGGGGAGCACTGACCTCTGCTTTGATGCTTTATGGAAGACAAGGCTTTCAGAGCCTGGCACTGGGGTGGGGGGGGGGGCTTGCTCTTTTCCTCCCTGCATTACAGGAGGCCCTGCCCAGTCGTAAGCTTCCTCTCCGACTACCTTTGTCCTCACTCACAGTGTGCCTGTCATACCGTGTGTTCCTCAAATGAGACAAACATACTGTTGCTTCAGAGCTGTTCCATTTGTTCTTTCTCGGCCCAGAATGCTCTCCCTCCAGATTCTCACATGGCTGACTCTTTCCCAGGTCTCAACTCAAACATCATCTCTCAGAAGAGCCTTCTCTGAGACCGTTACTAAAGTAGATCCTACCCCAGCCAACTTGTATCACAGTATCGTTTTATTCCACTTATGGCACTTAACTTGTTTATTTATTCATTTTCTTATCTTGCTTCTTTCCACTAGGCCCCTGATAGCTTATCTGTTTTGTTTATCACTGTGTTATGACACTTAGAACTCTGCATCTATCATATAGTAGATGTTCGAGAAACATGAGTTAAAGAAATGAACAACTAACTAATGAATAATTAGTTGTATGTGTGAATGGACAAATGAATGAATTAATAAAGCAAGATGGATTTTGAAATGGCTGTTTTGAAATCACCCTGACGGTGCTTCATTTGTCTGGAAACCCAGGAGCATATAGATAAACTCCAAGTTAGAAAATGAAACATCTGGCTTTGGAGGAAGAATACTGTTTACACCCTGCAGACTGTGTTAAAACTAAAAATGACCCTTTTTTTCTCTCTTTTCCTCAAAGAAATGGGAGCTCATGGGAAAGCTGGGGGTTTTATTTTTCAACACAAGATGGCACTGTTGTTATTTTTTAACAGTTACTGAGATTTTTCATTGGCGATGCAGCTTATGCAGCAGTTCGGAGCAAAGCCCTGGTTACCCAGCAATTTCATATCCACATGTAATACTTTTGTTACACTGGAAAAGTGCGTGGTCTGCTCTGCTCACACAGGGATCGTCCCTGAAGATTTTGGTAATTTGATATTGCTTACAGTTACATCAAATTACCACCAGACCTTGGTGATCAGAGCCTCCCCAGAGAACCTGATTTACACATGTGCATATTTAGAAAATTGAAACGTGCAACTGCGTTGCCCGTGCATTTATGCTGAGTCAGCTGAGCCGTTCTCGTACGTGTCATGATGCCACGGAAGGCAGAGTGGCCTGAACAGTGGCCCGGAACTTGACCTGTACAGATCTGTGTGGCGGCAATGCTTCTGCGCATCTTCCTCTTCATCAGAGTCCAGAGGCAGGTGCAGTTAGTCCAATGACGACTATTTAAAGTGTTTCAGTGCCCTGGCTGGTTTTGCTCAGCGGTTAGAGCGCCGGCTCGTGGACCAATGAGTCGTGGGTATGATTCCAATCAAGGCCACGTACCTTGGTTGCAATTTGTCCCTGGCCCTGGTTGGGGTCGTGTGGGAGGCAGGCACTCGATGTGTCCCTTTCACGATGTGTCCTTTTCACGTTGATGTTTCTGTCTCTTCCTCTCTCTCCCTCCCACTCTATCTGAACAAAAATGGAAAAATGTCCTCGGTTGAGGATAAAAAAATAAATAGATAAAGCGTTTTAGCACATTATTCTCTATCAAAAGCTGGCACTTACGTGCCAAGGCTATTTGAGTGTCCCCAGATCTCTCTATTGAGAGGAAATGTTAAGTTAGTGAAGATTCCTTTCACATAGTCTAATGAATAAACTCTACGAAACCCAGTAATCCAGGCTGTCCTGTTCCGGACAGGAGCAAGGCCCACTTGTAGGATGGGTGCAAGGAGCCTGGTTCCGTGTTCATTGGGAATTTCTTAAGTGCCGAGTAGTCATAATCTTATACTTTTTGGAACATAATATATGGGCCCGTTTTTGTGTGTCTGTTTTTTGTGAGTAAAGCGAATAAAGACGAACGCTGTTTATTATGTGACTGAGGAATTTTATTTGTGATTTTATACGAAAAGATCTAAATTATGCATTAGCCAGGTATGGATTTGCAGTGTTAGGCACCATTACGGACATGTGATTTACAGGTCGGCCAGTACCCTACAGGTGCCCGGGCTACACCTCGGAGAAAACTCTGTGAATGTAAATCAGGATTCTTAGACTTACGCTGTTTTCTGGATCTTGACAGAGATTCACATGCCAGGGCCCATCTCCGAATAGAGGCTTGTCACACCCCTCTCAAGTATGCCTGGCAGGAACCTTCTCACTTTAAGGAGGGGGACAGTTTTCCAAAGAAAATACAGGAAGAGCTCCTTGGAAATGTGGAACCACAGGCGAAATACAGGTAAAAAGTGGCAATGAATTCCTGTTAGAGATTTCCAGCTGGTCTTAGATTTTCTCACTTGGAGGCAAAAATTTTCCTAAGGGTTTGCTTTACAGTTTCCAACTATTTACACCAACAGACGCGTTTTTGTCTTTTTTTGTGTTTTGGAATGAAGCATTTGCAAGTACTGATGGGAAGATGCTTCTCATCTTAGCTGTGGCATGTAATTTCTTTCCATTGGTGTCTTTTCAGCTCAAGCTCATCCATCTTTGCCTCCTGAGAAGGGAGCACAGAGCTCATGTATTTGTTGAATAAATGTGTGAATGAACTTATGAATAAACATGTAAGATGCCCTGATGTCTTTAAGAAATTAGAAAATGCATTTCTTCCTTTTAATGTTATTATTTTCTGGTCAATATCCAGTGAAATGACAGGAATCTATAGTACTTTGCACTGTTCTGTCATCTTTAGACATTTGCTTAATTTTACAGCAGCTTGTTTGTATTAAACAGTTTCAACATTTAGCATTAGTCTATGCACATAGTAGGGGCTTAATAGATGTTTATAAATTAATTTAATTGCCAATGCATTGTGATGTTTAGTATGTTGATAAACTTGCTTAATCCCTTAAGATCCTTAGTAAGTGATTCCTTTACATTAACTTGGTAGCCTATTGTTATTTTCTATTACGAGAGTGAGTTATGAGTATTGAAACACTTGGAGAATAATATTCTGTTTGTCAGGGAGTCGCTAGATAGAGGAGAGAAACAATCATGATTTAGACAGAACTCCTTTATTTTTCTCTGTGTTGATTCTACATGCCCCTCTTTTCCAACTTCCTTTTCCTCTTTAAATGATCTCTTCAACGGAGTGTCTTTTTCCTGCGCTGATGGGTTCCTCATATTCTCTCGGACAATATATATTCCTGTTACTGAATAAATTCCACATTTACTTTGCACACCAGCTCGGCAGTGCACCTCGCGTGGCTGCTGTCCCGACGGCACGCCTCACCATTACAAGTGAACGTGGTTCACGGCGGGTCCCTGCCAACAGAACTTGCGATCTCCAGCACGTCAAGGGCACGGGACATTTTTCTGCATCTAATAGGATTTTCTTTATCTCAGCCATTCTCCAAAGAGGAGTAAATTGCAGAAGCTTTGTCACCAGCAGTTTGAATACAGAGATGGGCAAATTATAAGCCATGCCGTTCCTCAGCTGGTCTTGGGGGTGCAAGGTCCTGACCTGCATTCAGGCGTGGACGTGGTTTTGGTGGAGAAAAAAGCCAGTGACAGTCATCAACGCTGGATGTACAAGGAAGGCAGCAGGTAAACCCATTAGATTTGGGGGTTAATATATCAACGAGTGAATGGGAGCCTAAAAGATTTGGCATGATTTCCACAGAGCAGACTAGTGTATATTTGAGGAATTGGATTTTCTATTTAACATGGCCAGTAGTATTTTATGTTACTTAAGCAAAATAAAGAGAGCGAGAGCAAATGTAAATGCGCAGTAGCCTATCAGTATCCACCTACTGATTCAGATAAGAAACATGAAATCTGATCTACTGGGTTCATAGTTTTAGCTGGCCATTGAGGTAGAGAGAAAACTGGACTTTCACCTAACTTTATTTGTATGATTTGATGGGAACAAGTAAGAATACTAAAAATTGCTTTTCATAGCTCAATCGCCTGACCCTCCCCACATGCGTGCCTTCCCACCCCTCTCTCCATCAAATAACCAACTGATCTGACCTCCACTCACACGGTGAAAACGAATTCTTACCTTTACAAATACATCGACCCTATCCAATGGGTGGCCCTTGTTTGGATCCAGATTCAAGCAAACCACTGTCAAATGGTTATTTCTGAGACAATCAGAAGAAATTCAAAGCAGTCTGGGTACCAGATAATATGAAGGAAGTCTTGTTCATTTTATTGGGTGTTATAATGGTTTCATGGTTATGTTAAAAACAAAAGTCCTGATCACTCAAACATATTATTGTTTTTACAGGCACAATTAAGAGCTATCTCAGATTGGCTTTAAAATATTACAGCACACGGAAAAATTTTTTAAATTGGGAGGGGAATGGATGAAACAAGAAAGGCAGAATGTTGCTAGCTGTTGGGTCGATGGTGGTTTCTTTGACATTTCTCTCTGTTTTTGTGCATGTTTGGACATTTCCTTAACAAGAAAGGAAAGAACTCCTTGGTTTTTAGATTGGTTTGCTTCAGATTCTACCATTAGTGTTATATGGTGGGTCTCCAGGGGCCTCTTCAGTCTTTCGAAATGCTATATAAAATTTGTGTTTGTGTATCTGTGCAATACTATTTTTTTTTCCCTGGAAATGAGCTGTGATTCTCAAAAGGCATGTAAGGCAAAAGGCTTAGGAATCGCTGCTCTGGACGAGGTTGCACACGCTCCAGCGGTGGCAGCCGTGGGCCCAGCACGGCAGGGAAAGAGCTAGCCTTCATCTGCTCACTGTCTGCAACGAGCAAAGCTGCCCGCAAGGAACGCTTGCTGGGCGTGTTTTAGAGAAGGCTGACATGCCAACGTGTGGACAGACCTGGTGAGCGTGCCCCTTGGCCCCATTCCTCCTGGCCCCGCTAAGCGAGCTCTGCAACGGGGAGCCAGGAAGCAAGGTTTTGTCCCTGCGAATGGTTTGCTGTACGAGGCCAGAATGCAGCCGTTCAGCTGTAAAGAATTATCGTGAGCAATGTTTTAGATGCTGGTGCTTCAGCAAAGAGCAAAACAGATCCCCGCCCCTACAGAGCTGGTGCTGCCCCACCTGTGCATTTCTAGAACCTAGCAGTACGTCTCGCGTTTCCGTACTGCAGTGCAGGTCCCGGTGAGCCGAGGTGGAATCCCAGCATGGCTGATGCACTGGGGTGAGCACACACGGGGAATGAGAGAGGTGACCCTGAGGCAGGAGAAAGCCAAGTTCGATGAGTTTAACTCAGAAACACTTGTTCATTAGAAGAGAGGGCCGTTTCGGGGTCCTCCTGAGTGTCTGTCCCTGGTTTTATTTTTCATCCTGAGTGTTGTGGGGAAAGCAAGAGGAGGGGGAGGCTATTTAAGTAAAAATGAAGAAAGAGGTTTGCCGAAAACTCTGAAACATTGGACTGTGACCAGTCCTGCTTTGGCAGATGTAACCACATGTAACATAAAAGAGAGTGGTCTCCTCCAATCTCCTTCCACTTTGCAAAACACTCCCCAACTTTGCCATCTTGAGGCCTCCTCATGTCAAGCCACAGAAGGGAGGGACAGTTGGTGGGGGCTGGTGGTATCGACTGATACCTGGTCAGAAACTGCAGAGTCTGGAGAGAAAAGGTGGAGCAGTGGGGGGAGGGGAAATGGGACAGGATTTGCTCGTAAGCACAGGGGTCCCCATCTGGAGACTCCCGTAAACACATGGACAGAGGTTTTGCAGAAGTCTCGATGATTTGTTGTGGGCAACATTCAGAGGAATATATGTCCCGTGGACGAAGTGTGACTACATGGTGACAGTAATTCTTTTTTCCACATTTCCCTTGGCATTTTGCTTTGTTTTCTTTCATGTCATTGGGTATCGAAATCCATCTGTTCTGATTAACTGGTGAGGCCTGGAGAACCTTGGATTGTGCTATGTAGCAGAGCATATAGAAAATTCATTTATGTGAACCACATTTTTTTGGATTCTCCTTATTTTTTCCAGGCAGTCTGCTTGCATTTAAAGGGGCAACTGCCCCTTCAGAATTTGTATGAATAGAGTATAGGCACAGTAGCTCATTGCCAACATCACGGGAGGTACTAAGTGGCTATTACTGTGGGAAGAATTGTCTATCTTTAGTCCTTTCATCCAGGCCTTGCTGGGATGACACATCATCTAGGCTGAAGAACAAGAACTGAACAAGGGGACTCTGAAAGGCCAAAGTAGGAAATTGCCAAAGACACACTCACTTGGGTTCCAGCCCCACAGAAGAGTGGTCTAGATCAAGTTTTGAGATAATCTGGCATCTTCCTTTCATTTTCAACTCAGGTACAATCTGATATAATCATTTGGTCTCTAAAGGGAAATATGAAAAAAATATGAAGAAATCCTCAGGGATGAAAATCCCCTCCATGGGACTCAAAGTCATTGAGGGGAAAATACGACAGCACGGAATTTGGAGCTGAAAGTCTTAGTCACGTGATTCCAATGCTAGGTAAACTGAGGCTCAAGGAGATTAAGCAACTTGTATGCATTCAGAGCACGGGTTAATGGAAGAGGCACGTGCTGGATAGCGCTGGGACACAGAGTAATTTCTCACTCTGCTGTTTGGCACGCAGGGGGGTTTTATGTAGAGGTCTACAAGCTCAGGCTTCCTGCAGAATGGAAGCATTCCTGCTGTGAGCAAGTGCCAGTTGACTAGTCTGTTCAAAAGGAAAAGAAAAACCAACTCTGTAATGGCCGAGCATGGCCCTGAAGCCTGGGGAAGTGGCTATATCTATTCTAGTCAGCAAAAACATAGATAGCTAGGTAACTAATCTGGGCATCTCAATGGGACACTGTAGAAGTATTCGCTCATTCATTCATTTGAATTCTGTTGAGTGCCAATAAGAATGCAAGGTGCAGAGTATGCAATGTTCTGAGGCTGCAGGGATGAGCAATATGGAATATCCACCCTCTGGGCACGTGTGCAGTCTTCGTAAATGCTAAGAAAATATTGATAAAACTGAATATCTACTTTGGATTTAAAATGAAACTTCACTAGCTAACAAGAGAAGCAGGAAATACATCGTATGATTCATAGTGATTATCTTAGTAGAAATCAGAGTGATGTTTAAAATTCTGTTATAATTTTACTATATTCATCAATTCTTTGTAGATTTTTTGCAATGAGGATATATTGCTTTATTTTCAGAGATTTAAATTAGATATCTGGAATGTTTTTTTAATCTTGCAAGGAAAAATATATTATTTTGATGATGGGTCCCCTCCCCCCTCCTCCCCTTCCCTCCGCTCCCGTATGGTCACATTTTATATTCGGGAGGAGTTGTATTTGCCACAGCAGGAATGCGGCTGCTCCTCTGTCCTGTAACTGTGTTGACAGACGTAAAGAATTGCCTCTTTCTCTGCAGACAAGAGCCTCAAATGTTTGGTTTATTTTTGCTTTTAAGTGATGCAAGGAAAAGAATTTGAGGGGTTTAGCTCAATAATTTTCGCTTTGTGTTTCAGTCAAGGAGGCAATATAAGATCACGTGAAAAATTCACCATATGTCTTGGACTTTTAGGGAATGCTCCTTTAGAAAAAACAAACTGAGGGAAATCTATTAAAAAAATCACAACCTTTGGTAGTAGTAGCTAATACTAAGTACTGTGCAACAGACACTATTCTATGTATTGTGTGTGCAGTAACTCGTTTAGTTCCCACAGTCGTCCCTTGAAGTTTGCGTCATTGCCCCATTTTACTGATGAGGATACTGAGGCACGGACTTGCTAAGCAGAGCCATAGAGCTACTGCCAGGTGGACTCAGGACTCAGACGTAGACATTGTGGCTCTAGAACCCGTGTTCTTATTCACTCTGACAAACTGCCTTCCATAATAATTAAATGAGGTGAGGAGAGTGTATCAGTCGGTACAGTCTGGAGACAAACCATACAGTGATTTAAGCAGGGGAGGTTTAACATAAAGAATGATTAAACAGCCCTGGCCAGTTTGGCTCAGCGGTTAGAGCGTCGGCCTGCGGTCCGGAGAGACCCGGGTTCGGTTCCCGCTAAGGGCACGTACTTCGGTTGCAGTTTGTCCCCGGCCCTGGTTGGTCGTGCGGGTGGCAGCCACTCGATGTGTCCCTTCACGTCGATGTTTCTCTCTCTCTCTCCCTTCCTCTCTCTCCCTCCCACTCTATCTGTACAAAAAATGGAAAAATATCCTCGGGTGAGGATAAAAAAAAAGAATGATTAAACAATAATAAAAGTAATTGCCGGATATTTAATGAACATACAAATTCTACATGATACTCTGAGACCGAGGGAGAGTATGAAACAAAAGGACAGACATGGACTTGGACACCTCCCCAAGGCTGGAGTTCAAAACTCATTGGCAAAAGTGTGGTTGCAGCCCACTGGATGGCAAAGAAATGTGCTGGTTTGCCTGTCCCGACCTGCTCTTTGGTTGCTGGGCAAGCAGGGAGCATTCCTCTGGAACAGATATGGGGGTGCAGCTGGTTGCTGGGCACAGGCACGTGTAAGGGCGTGCGGGGGCTGTTGTGGCAGAAGGCCTGGGACGTGCAGCATCTGTGTTGAGAGAGCCACAGGCCAGGTCAAGGCTGTGAGGTGCCGAGGGACCACGTGTTCTGGAAGAGCATCCCGGGATAGCCCAGTCCCACCCACGGACACCACACAGCAGCCAGAAAGAGCAGGATCGCGATTTTATAATGTGCCTAATCCTGTTTCCCCAAGGACCTTTCACCTGGTGAGGAACCCAGACCTTGTGCTGGCTGTGTGTATGACCAAGACGGGAGGCGAAGGCTGTGGCTATCCAGTCATTGTTCAGGTAAGAGGTGCACAGCCCAAAGAGTAAGCATGCCCTTTAGTTAAATGCAAGTGAAGCTCCATGTGTCCCTGTGAAGAAAGAAAGTGGGTGTCATAGAATTCTATCTTGAATGCTATTGCTAAAATATTTACAACATTCTGCTTGGATTTCAAATTGAGCCTGTTCATGTAGCTCTTAATTTAGTTGAATCCAACAGATGGTGGTGGTGGGCTTGCTGCATGTCAGGAGCTATGCTCGGTACTCAAATCAGTTCCAACGGCAAGCGTGAGCAATGGTCCCAACAGCATTCACGCAGCTTAGTCTCGGTGGTGGGTGCCGTCGGTGGAGTGGCTGGTCATGCACCACGAGTTTTAGCTTCAGTGATCAGAACGTGTGCAAGTCCCCTCTTGTCTGGTACTTGGAGGGGAAGAACATGGTCAAAGGGGTCTTCCTGAAGGATGTGAGCTCAACAGTGTTAATTCTAAGACACTCATTTGAAATACACTTGTAACATCCTTTTGCAGACACTTGTAGCAGCCAAACAATTTTGGGAGACTCCAAAGAAGTCTGGCTTCATTTGAGTTTTAGGCAAACACCTGGAGAGTTCTCTTTTGCATGTTTGTCTGTCATCCTCACTTACTTTATAACCAATGACGCTCCTAAATGAATACGCATTCATGTGTTTTCTCTTGTTGGGAGGAGAGAAGGTTTAGGAGAGTCCCTGCTCTGCATTTACTTTCTGCGTTCTCCGCAATATTTACATCACTTTGTTGAACAGAATACATTGTCTCAAGTAACATTTGTCTTATTCTATATTTTTAATAGCAATGAACCCGAAATTGGGACATAGCAATCTGGACAAATATCAAAGCTTAATTAAGTCGTCTCTCCTGGTGATAAGTACGGGCTTAAAATTTGTTCTAGGAGACACAGTGTATACAGCATCACATTCTTCCCTGTCAGGTGCTGCTTTGGCAGCGAGATAAAAACCTCATACAGATGCAAATTTAGTACCCTAGTTTCGTAACATTATACATATGGAGGCTTCCCTTAAGGTTCCCATTTTATAAGAAATAAGTTTGATCCCAAGGTAATTTGTATTACCTTTCAAGATTTTTCTTGTTGTTGCTGGTGTTTCATTTTTATTTCTTGAAGCAATCAGTTTGTGAGAAAATATTAAAGTTTGCGTAAGTGAATAGAAATGAAGCATCTTAGGTTAATGTTACTAGTCCCCCTCCCTGGTCCTTGAAATATAGTCCTTGTTTTCATACCTCTGAGGGATGCTCTATTATCTGACCTATTAAATCAGTTCCTAAGGCTCATTTATTTTCCTCTTTACTATCAATCTCTCCTTGGAGAAGTAAGTGTCATTCATTACAAAGTTCCTTCAGGAGTCATGATACGTTTAGTTGGAACTAATCTATTGGTTTAAATTCCCTTAAATAGAAACTACTTGTTTCTTTACTTATGCTTGAGCCAAGTTATATAACTTGAAAATATGCTGTTTCCATTACATGTAAACTGGGTGTATTCACATTTTTAAAAATCCTTTTTGATAACCAGAGAAATGTAAATTAAAATATCAACAAGGTATAACTTTTTATTTACTAAATTGATGATGTTTTGGCAAGAGTGTGAGGAAAACAGGCCATTTCACATACTATTGGTGGAAGTGTAACCCACAATGACCCTTCCAGAAACTATTTGGCTGTGAGAAGCTTTATATAATGTATCATAATATTTTTAAATGATTGTGTTCTTTTATCCACAATTCTACTTGAGGAGTTTGTTCTAAAGAGGTTATAGATTTACACAAAGATTTAATGGTATAATTCTTCATCGCTTTTTTGCTTATAGTAAGGAAAACTTGAGAATCTACAGGTTTCTTAGAGAGTGGTAAAATAAAATATCCCTGAGATTAAATAGTATATATCCTTCAAAAAAAAGCTTAAAAAAGATTCATGGAATATTGTTAGGTAAAAACAAAAAGCCAACCCAAACCCAGTAGTTACCAAATTGTATATATTTTGTGATCCTATTTTTGTAAATTAAAGAACATATATTTATAAATATAAAAGAAATTATGTTTTTAATAATCAAATATCAGCCATGTAGTTATGTAATAATCAAATCTGTAATTATAGCCACATGGTAGAGTGAGTAATTATCTGTACTTTCTAAATTTATGCAGTGAAAACCATGACTACTATAACCAAATCATGAACTTTCCCATCTCAGCTCAGATATTGTCTCTTTTCAGAAATATAAGCCCTATGACAATGGAACTTCCAATCAAAAGTGGAATTACATTGAAAATATGAAAGCTTTTATGGCTTTTCATAGCACTGCACTGGATAAGGAAATCACAGCAGCAAATTATGCTGGAATTTGTACATCCTCTGTGGTTAAAGAAGAAAACATTGATCAACCAGTAAGTGGTTCCTTCCTACTGAGGATAAAAGAAAAATAGGGGAGAATGGGGTAATTTAATAAAGCAAGAGTATTTTTTTTTCTAGCAAACCCATGTTCACACAAATTGAGCCCTGATTTGTGAATGAAATCACATGACTCTGGGATCCTGGTTAGGAAGGAATGAGAAAACACTGATACTGCTCTCTACCTATATTGTTTTGATGGCTCCCTGTCACCTGTACCATCTTTGGTTCCTCAGTTCACCAGAACACGCGTGAGGGAGGACAGTCACATATCCTCCCCTTCACAGGTGTGCCTGCTGCACTAGATGTCACTCCACTCCAGAAAGCATGCTAACATGCAAATGAGCGTAAGCGACTTGAACTCGATTACATTATGCCAGGCATAGGCCTAAGCATGAATTGCATTCTGATTTGTAAGTAAAATAGTTTCTCAAGTTTGGTCTTCTAATTTTTATCAGTAAGGAATTACTTGCACCGTAATTTACAGATACCTGAGATATTGTGGGTCAGTGGGTCAAGCCACCTTGCTATCATTGATTCCATCGGTGTGCTTGAAATCTCGTAAAGCACCTATATGACCCTCCAAGACCCTCTTTTCTCTGCTCTTCAGATGTCTTTAACTGCTGCTGCTGCTTCGCTCATCATCTGTAGCTCAGCTGAGCTAGAGATGTCCAAATGTACCGTGCCATTTTGCATCTCTCTGGATTTTGACTGTGTTATCCCCTGTGCCTCTTTCTGCTGTGTCTGTGACCTCATACCTGTTAGCATACACGCTTTCAGACTAGCAAGGTTATCTTCAAATGAATCAAGTCCACTTGAAAAGGCTCCCACTAGCCAAAGATGAACCAATTTAAGCAGCAATATGACTAATGGGTGCAGTGGATTGACATGCATCAGATATGTTTAAATCCATATATTCATATTGATATTAAACGACAGCAACAACAACTCATTGGTCACAACTAAATGATGCTATGAAACCCATTCATTACTTTGAAAAGTGGGAAATAAAGAGTCAAGCATTTATTTTTGTCCTTTAACAACTGGACCTCGGGATAACAAAATATTGGGTGAGGAGAAGTTTCACATTATAGAAATATCCCAGCTAATAAATGCATTGGCACATAATTCACCACGAACCCCAAGCTGTTCTATGTACATAAATGATTCAATGTGTAATATTCATTCAGTTCCATCTGAGAGGGGCATTTGATTTTCTGCCTTCCAGTAACTTGTAGAAAAATGGAAGTCAGATGTATGTGTAGAGAAATCCATAGTTACATTTGAGAATTACATCTTTGAAAGTATCATCTAAATGTCGGCTTTGAATTAAGGTAGCTCTATATACTTAAAGGGAGGCGTTGAACCAAATGGAAAAGGCCGAGCAGCCAAGAGCTTGGAATCAGAAGTCACAGTTTTTTATATTTCAGCTCTGCCATGTACTACTTGGGTATCCTTGGATAAAAACTTTCCTTTCTGAACTTTCATTTTCTCTAATGCAGGTGGAGAACGGCACTATTAACTCTGGTTGTACTTAACTTTTAGCCTTGTGAGGAACCAAGCCAATTAGAGAGTCTATGTGAAAGTACTTTAAACTTTTATTATGGAAATTTTCATGCATATTCAAAAGTAGAGAGACTAGTACAATGAATTCTCATATACCTCTTATCAAAATGTAACTATTATCGCCCTGGTCGGTTTGGCTCGGCATTTAGGGCGTCCACCTGCGGACCAGAGTCTAGGATTTGATTCCAGGTCAAGGGCAATCTCGGTAGGGGTCCTGGTAGGGGTCATGTGGGAGGCAGCCAATTAAGGTGTCTCTCTCACATCGATGTTTCTCTCTCTCTATTTCTACCTCCCACTCTATCTAGAAATCACTGGAAAAATATTCTCGGGCGAGGATTAAAAAAAAAAGTCAACTATTATCAAGGTTTGGAAACGTTTATGAATCCTCAGACATGATATTATTTCACCTTAAACTTAAGCACGCACCCTTGAAAAATTTGAACACTTTCTTACATAATCATTATGCCATTATCACATCTAACAAAATTAACAATACTTCTTCAAATACCTGTTCTTAATTATAGTTCCAAGGTTCTCCTAAAATATTCTTCTTGTGGTTGGTTGGTTTGAGTCAGTATTCAAACAAGGTCCCTACATGGCATTTAGTAGCAGAACCTGGGTCCTTTGTCCTATAGAATGCCTCTATTTGGATTTATTGCTTTGCTTCTTGGGCCATCCTTTAACTTGTTTCTCTAACCTCTAATATTTCTGTAAAAGAAATTTAGCACTAGCATTATAATTATATTTATGTTCAGCTTTATTTTTATATGAATCTTTATAAGTCTTACTGAATTTTTCACATTGATCACTTATTTAGGCATACAGTGTCTGGATTTTCCATTTATTGGTGATATGTGGTTACAACCTAATCCCACATTTAAAAAAGTTTCCCAGTAACTTCTCTTCTAGTGTCTCTCATCCTTCAGTGATCTGTGCTTAGATCAATTATTTCATTAGGAATTTCAAAAGGCTCAATTTTGTCTAATTCTCTAGTTTTACCCACATTTATTAGCTGAACTTTTAATGTCAGAAAACTTACCTTTTCATTAGGTATTTAAGTATCCAAAAATATGGTTTGTAAGGGATGCTGGGATAAATGTTTAATTTGTTCTGTCATCTCACTTACCTATTGTGGTATAACAATAAACTGATGTCTTAAACCGACAACCATTTTTTGCTCTCTGGGTCAGCAATTTGGGGCCGGATTCAGCTAGGTAGTCCTGCTGGTCACTAATGTGGTAGTAGCCACCAGGTGTGCTTGAGTACTTTGGTGGTTCTGTGGGGACTGGGTGGTCAGAGATGTCCTCTCTCACATGTGTGGTGCTTGGCAGTGTGCTAGTTGGGGGCCTTGGTGCCCCTCAGGGCTTCTCGGGCAGGTTGGCTCAAGTGTGTTCACACTGTGGTTCCATCTCGGGGTTCCAGTTGCAGCCAAAAGGTAACAAGATTCGATGGGCAAGCACTTCTTATGCATCTGCTTACATCACATTTGCTAATGCTCCAGTGTACCAAGCAAGTCACACGCCCTTGCCCAGGTTCAAGGAAAGGACAGAAACTCTGTTTCTTGATTGGGGGAGCCGCCAAGTCACATTTCAAAAGGGCATGAAAACAAGGGTGGGCTAGTTTCATTGTGGCCATCTTTGCACATAACCTGCCGCATGTTCTAATGGCTGAATCTCAGCAGCATAAACCGGTGCTCATTTACTCCCAATGGACTCTAATAAGTTGGGGTTTTGTTGTTTGTTAGGGCTTTTTTGTGTTGTGTAGACTTATGTTTTAGCATCATTATAAACTCATGGGAGTTTTGCATTCCTAAACATGTTCTGAGTGTTTTGGTTATCTTTCTTTTTGTTGCTTTTAAATTGTTTCACTTTGGGCCAGGGAAGGCCCTTCATGTTGGCTCCTATGTGTTTTTGACATGGTCTTTATGCTCTTGGGTGGCTACTGTCCTTTCTGGGCCCCGCAGGGCGTCCCTTGCTTATCCTGTGTACTTCTTGCCCCAAATATGGAAGTAGCCATTCCTCCAAAAACCCTGATTCTGGGTGAAAGATATACACGTGAAGTTGAATTGTTATTGTCTCTGAGCATTTTTTTTTTTTTTTTTTAGTCAACAGAGTTTGGAAATGTGTTGTGTGTGTGTTTTTTTAATATAATTATTAGGGAGCAAAATAATGCATTCATGTTGAGATTTCAAATGTAGTATTCGGGGGGGGGGGATTCTAAACATGTTTTATGTGTATTGTAAAGTGTTCTACAAACATGCTATTATAATTTAGGTGTTTCTCTATAAAAGCGTCTTTGTCCCTGTTTGTAGGGATACTATTATGTCTCCCCTGCTGGAAAGAAAAGAATGATGCTGTGCTTGGCCTGCGGGAGGTCCATGATCGCAGAGAAGGGACTGAACCCGCTGCTTCCCGGCCTGCCCTTCCTCTGTGCCTCGGGCTCCGAGCCCCGGAAGCCCTTCTCCAGAGGACCCTTCAGGACCATCGATGTGGCCGAGGTGTGTGATGATCCGAGCTCTGCTTGCACCTAGGCGGCGGCACTTTGGAAACGGATGCATTCATTACCTGCCCTGCACTCAAGCTCATCCCCGCTCCTCCCGTCCATCTTCCTCCCTGCACCGGCACCATTTCACCTGCATCGATCTCCTTTTCCCATTGTGATTTAAAATACATTGTCTATTAATAGTTCGATACACTCTTTGAAGTTAATTGGGCACTTCTTGGGCTTTAATCATCTGCTGACACCTTCCACTGCTCTCTGTGTTGCTTTCAGATGAGGGAGGAACCGCAGGTCTTTACTTAGTGGAGCAGCCTTCTTGCTTCTGTTCCCGGGGCGAAGTCCTTTTCACCGGTGTGGAGCATTTCCCGGAGACTCTGACATGTCGTGAATGACTCTTCAGGCGGGGGCCTGAATTCCCGCACCTGTGGCTAATATTATTTATAGCTTATGGAGAAAAAAAGTCGCCGCCGCTTTCCTGTGATCTCAGTTTTACGAAACCCTTTCTTTCAAGGTCAGACAGAGAAGAGCTAGGGGGGCTACACCGCTGTATAAGAAGGAGTGGTCCCGAAGAGGTGGGCAACCTTGGGGCCTGGCGTGCTGGTCGGGGCTTGCCCGCCCATTCCCTGGTCACTGTCCCCGCCCCTCCCTGATGCACCTTGTGGCCACGGGGTTACAGTTACAGGAAACATCACCTGAAACAGAGCTGTAGAGGAGAAAGGAGGTCAGTCCTTGGGAAGTGGGAGGCACTTGCTCGGCCCGAGGGATGGTGGTAGTGTTCAGGAGGAGGTGGGGAGCCCACGGGAAGAATTCCCAATGCGTTCCCTCAGGGCAGCCTCCTGAGTAGGGCTGCAGAGGGACCGGTGAGGTGTGGTGTTCACCACCCTGCGGAAGGTCACACTCATCCCTCCTCGGTCCCCAGTGCCTGCCACTGGGGAGGGCATCCCCCTAACGTCAAAGATGAAGAGAGTGTCCGCCCAGCGAGTGTCCCCTATTCCACCCCAGGCTCTCCTGCCCTGGCTCCCTGGCCCCGGAGAGGCCCAGAAACACAGCAGAGGCCCAGCCTCACCCAGAGACTCAATGACAGGCGGGGAAGAGAACAAGTTCTGACCAATGTCCTTCCCACTGCGGATCTAATACCCATAACATGTGACATGAGCATTTCAACATGTAGAGGCCACACATATGTGCACACATGTATGCATCAAATTGAGAGACTGAAGCCTACCAGAACAACAAAACTGAAAAAAAAAAAAAAAAGCACAAAACTTGAGTAGACCTATGATTTTTTTTTTTAATCAGGCTGATTTATCTTCTTATGAGGCTGAGAGAACTCTACGTTATTATGAAGAGCATCTATTATCTTTACGGATGAAGACCCGCACACACGTGGTGTCTCCTAGAGGTACGGCAGCCCCGCACCAGAAGGCAGTGAGAATAATTGCACACAAAAATGGAGATGGATATCGAAATGGGAAGTTAATTGTGGCTGAAACATTCCCCATGGTAAGTGGCTATCACTTAAATGCTTCTTGCATTCTCGGAGGTAATGATAATGGTGATTCTTCTGACAAGAAAAGAGCGGAGGGATTGAGTGATAAATGTCCCCGGCCACTTTCACCGATTTATGCTGATGAGATCAAGATCTGTGTTTTCTTGGAGATTTTCTTTCTGATTGTATTTCTTTGGGTATGGCTTTAGGGAAATGAGAAACAGGAATGTGGTTTTTAGACGGGCTCCAGAGCAAAGATACATAAAAGCAAGGGAAAAACAAAGCTATCAGATTGCCTTCATTTTTACCTTCCTTCCTATTGCCAGTTCAAGGTGCATGTCATCTGAATATTTTAGGAGATGCCACCTCATTTACCACTGGGGAATCTGCGCGCTTAATTGTTTATAGGGTATTGTATTTGATTTTCCAAATGGAGAGGCTGGGGTTGTGCTAGCAAGGAATGTGGGGGTTCTGTCCTAGAGGCTGTCCCTTACAGCCACAGGAAGGGAAGAAAGTCCCCAAGACCCAAACCCTTTGTCCTTCTGTGTTTGGTGATTATCTTGTCAATACCCTTAACGACATAATTTACAGATAATGTTTTATATACTATGGAATTACCCTGGAGACTTCCTTGCCAACACTCCCCACACACACACACACACACACACACACACACACACTAGTTAACTCACCTCTTTGACTGAATACAAATAGATTTTAAAAATTGAGATATTGTTGTTCAATGGAATAAGCAAAGTACAGAAGTTAGCAGCTCCAGGATTCATCCTGGGATCTCTAGCTGGCTTTTGGGATCTATGGCAAGATGACTCTTTCAGCCTGTTTTCGAATCTGAGAAATGGAAGTCATAATATGTGTCAGCTTTCAGGTTGCAAGTCAATTACTCATTCATTTTAAAGCAGTTTATCAAGATGAGTGCAACAATGACATACCTTACAAAGCAACAAAATTGGAAGTGGATTTCTAGGTTAAACATTTTTAAGGAAATACTCTAAGGAAATACATCCGCTACTGTTTTACATTTTTGGAGCTAAGACTTCACAGCTGGATTGGACTCATGCTATGTGGGATTAAGTAGAACAATCTAATATCAAAAAGTGTCTCTAATCAAAGATCAAATTGGTTGTTATTCGGCTTTCTGTTTTCTCAAGTTAAAAGATTTTCTCTGATTTCTAAAATAACAAGGTCTTTACGATTGTTCCTAGCTCTGTCGCTATGTCCTCTAGTCCCTTACAGTCTGTGCCATCTAGCTTCTTACAGAATGCACAAAGCAACTTGGTCTCGCCCGAGCAGCCTCCAAGGTATATACCGAAGATGGAACCGCAATCTTTTCCTTGCGTGATCTGGTTGTTTGGGCTCTAGATGAAATTTGTATCCACAGAGACTCCGGGGAACAAAAGAAAGAGGCAGCCCCTCTTGGAACTGAGGAGACGACTATTAAAACAGTGGAAGGTTGGTTACATTCTACAATATTTAACAGATTCTGCTTACGTTTGGTCGTTTGGTCATTAGAAAGTTAAATGTGATCCTTTCACTCAACCACCTCTTCCAGAATTACAAAATCATAGAAAGATACATAGGAGAGTCTCATATTGTTTTCGATTTGCAGAATCATAAGAAAAAATTAAGAATGTAAAATTGTTTTCAGCACTGACACAATAAATACATTGCCTGGAATTTACAAAATATGTTTGACAGCTTAGCTACTTCATGCAACTTGAGCAGCTTTTGTTCTTAAATTCAGAACTCAGATCACCTGGAGACCAGAGGGGCCGGATCAGGGCAAATCTCTTCCTATGATTTGAAGAGAAGGTTCCCCTACCTCCAAGTTCCCTCGCTGCTCCTGTAAACTCCCAGAATCTCCAGCCAATGTGCCCCCATTGCAGCTCCAAGCACATTGTATATAATGATCTGTTCACATCTTTGGGTGCCCCCAGCAGCAGTTGCTAAATGAGAGTCTTGCTAGCAGCAGTCCAGCAGGGTTACCCGGGTTTCTGCTGTGGTATCGGCAGGCATGGTTCAGAGGGTAAGAAGTTGGCTTGGGGATACCAGGGTTCCTATCCTAGCTATCACATGCTCTTGGGCAAGTTGCTTAACCTCTCTGTACCTCCATTTCCTTATTTGTAAAATTAGGTCACCAATAGTCACTTATTTCATGGAGTTTTTATGAGGACCAAATGAGTATATATTCACGTGTATATTCATTTGGTCCTCATAAATGACTATGTATTCATAAGAGAATATATACATATGAATTTATGCATATAAATCTCCCTGGCCGGGTTAGCTCAGCGGTTAGAGCATTGGCCTGTGGTCCCGAGAGATCCGGGTTCGGTTCCCACTAAGGGCACGTACCTAAGTTGCAGTTTGTCCCTGGCCCTGCTTGGGTCGTGCGGGTGGCAGCCACTCGATGTGTCCCTTTCACATCGATGTCTCTCTCTCTCTCTCTCCCTCCCACTCTATCTGAACAGAAAAATGGAAAAATGTTCTCAGGTGAGGATAAAAAATAAATAAATAAGATTATTAAAAAAATCTCTCTGGCCCTGGCCAGTTTGGCTCAGTGGTTAGAGCGTCGGCCTGCGGTCCGGAGAGACCCGGGTTTGGTTCCCACTAAGGGCACGTACTTCGGTTGCAGTTTGTCCCCGGCCCTGGTTGGTCGTGCGGGTGGCAGCCACTCGATGTGTCCCTTCACGTCCATGTTTCTCTCTCTCTCTCTCCCTCCTACTCTATCTGTACAAAAAATGGAAAAATATCCTCGGGTGAGGATAAAAAAAAAAAATCTCTCTGTGTATACACACACACACACACACACACTTAGAAGAGTGTGAGGTTGATATTTACCAAACAGTCAATGAATATTAGTTATCATTATTACACGTAGGACTGAGCAGGAAAAACCCACTCTTCTTCCTTTGTGTTTCTCCTTTATTCTCACACTATGATCACCCTCAGAACATTTCTGACACCAGATGCTGGGTTTTTCTGTGTGTGTTTTCCCCCCACACCAAGCAATTTTGTGACGCAAGCTGGGTGTTCTGCAATTTAACTAAATTAAAATACTATGTAGCTGGAGACAGCGTTTGATCCCGTAGGTTAAGGGCTCAGTGCCACATGCTCCCCCTTCACTTCAGGTGCCAGTCGCAAGTCCAGGTTGCTACCTGTGCTCCTGACGGTTGGTATCAATGGGAAGTTCCCACAACTCCCACCTGAGTTCAATTAATTTGCTAAAGCAACACAGAGAAATCAGGAAATCGATTTACTTACTGGTTACTGATTATTATCCTAGCACATGATAAAGAATAGATGAACATCCAGCTGGTGTGGCCCAGCGGATTGAGCATCGTCCCATGGGCTGAAAGGTCCTAGTTTGATTTCCGGTCAGGGCACACGCCCTGGTTGCAGGCTTGATCCCCAGTAGGGGGTGTACACGAGGCAGCCGATCGATGTATCTTTGTCACATAGATGTTTCTATCTCTCTCTCCCATCCTCCCTCTCTCTCAAAAAAAAAATCAATAAAGACATATTTTAAAAAATAAAGACGAGCGTTCACATGGAATAGAAGAGATGCCTGGCGCAAGGTATATGGGAAGGGGTATGGAGTGCCCCTGCTCTTCCCAAGTCCTCCGCTGTCCCAGGACCTTCATGTGTTCACAAACACAGATGCTCGACGAAACCTGTACGTTTGGGAGTTTTATACAGACCTCACGATGTGGGCATGATCAGTCATTAACTCCATTTCCAGCCCCTCCCCTCTCCCTGCACAAGGGGAGAGGAGGGTTGAAAATTTCAAGCTTGTAATCATAGCTTTTTTTTCTGGTGACCAGCTGCATCTGGGAGCCCACCAAGAGTCATCTCAGCACAAAAGACCCTGCTATCACCCAGAAAACTCCAAAGGACATAGGATCTGTGTCAGGAGCCAGGGTCAAAGACCAAATAGTAGAACAAAAGATGCCCTAGTCCTCGTAGCCCCTAGAAAATCAGAAGAATATGGGGAGTTCTGTGCCAGGGACCAAGGGTAGAAAGCACTATACTGTATAGTATCTATTATTTCACAATAATATTTAGTTTTCTAATGAGTTTTAAAAATAATTATGTACATTTAATGCCTAGCTATTCACTAAAGTGTATAGTTCTGCCTTTATTTTGCATATAGAATATGTGATTTCCAGGTTCCGGAGGATTACACTCTCAAACACTCTGTTTTCATGCAGGACTAGCAAGAGGGTATGGCCATCCCTTCTCCTCTGTATTCTAAAGGTTATTATTGAATCAGGCAGGTACATGAGCAGCCACCCCCTTTACTGAGTTGTGGTTTAGTGTAATGCCATCAATTTGCTTTCAAGAACTTGAAAGAAATAGGCGTCTGTCCGTAACTCAGCATTATGCTTACCATGGAGGCAGTGGTTAAAAGTGTAGGCTCTGGCCCTGGCCAGTTTGGCTCGGTGGTTACAGAGTTGGACCAGAGTTGTGGGTTCGATTCTGGTTAAGGGCACACACCTCTGTTGCAGTTTGTCCCTGACCCTGGTCCAGGGTCATGGGGGAGGCAACCAGTCAATGAGCCCCTCTCACATCGATGTTTCTCTCTCTCTCCCTTCCTCCAACTCTGTTTGAAGGTAAATAGAAAAATATCCCCAGGTGAGGATTTAAAAAGAAAAGCATAGGCTCTGGAGGCTGATGGCCTGGATACTAATCCTGTCTCTGCCCCCACCTAGCTACCTGACTAAATTTCAGCAAAACTTTCTGTAAGATAGACAGGAACCTACCTCAGAGTATCATTTTGAATATTGCATGAGATCATGTATATAGACATCTTAGTAAAATGCCCAGCACATATTAGATTTTCAATTTATGTTAGCTGTTGTAGGATATTATTTGCTATATCACAAACAACTCCTTTATAAAGGCCCTGGAATTGCTTCTCTCAGATTTCCGAACCAGGAGAGGTGTATCACGTGAAGAATTTCTTTCTCTTTATGGGCCTTGCAAATCTTGAAATTGTGATTTTCTTCTTGCTTTGGCCACTAGGATGCTCAAAACCCAAATTGTGCTTTATCTCTAGCAAATAAAAGCAGTGTGGTATTCATGTCCATTTAACAATAAAAATATTAGCTAGTATTGTTTGGCTGCTTGCCCAACTAAATAGACCAAGCACTATTTATCCTAAGTACTTTATTTTTTTCTTTTAGTGGAATGAGATAGACACTGTTATTTGTTTATAAGATGATGACACTGGTGCACGTATCTCTGGCTTTAGTCTATTCCTATACTCCTTTTCCTCTTCCTTGGTTTTTAAATCTCTTTATATTATCCCTTTCTAGAGTAGATATTTTGGTAAGCCACCTCAAATTTCCTTCAGAACTAGGTAAAATGTAAGAAAAAAATTGAATTGCACACTTATAATCATATTAGTTAAAATGCTTGACTGAGCCCTGGCCAGTTGCTCAGTAGTTAGAGCATCAGCCTGCGGACCAGAGAGTCCCGGGTTCGGTTTCCACTAAGGGCACGTACCTTGGTTGCAGTTTGTCCCCGGCCCTGGTTGGGGTTGGGTGGGTGGCAACCAGTCCATGTGTCTCTCTCACATCGATGTTTCTCTCTTTCTCTTTCTCTGTCTCTCCCTCCTGCTCTATCTGAAGATAAATGCAAAAATGTCCTAGGGTTAGGATAAAAAAAGAAATCTTTGACTGCTATGAAGTTTTGATCAAATTTATGTATTAGCATTGGTTTTGGTATTTCCTGTTTAAATCAAGTCGTTAATGAAAAATGAAATATTTTGAATAGATAAATTAATTCAATAAACAAATTTACATATTGTTCATTGAATGATGGTAAATGTGTTCTTTGTTTCCCAGAAAACCCAACACTGAAAGTGAAAAACAAATTATTTCCAACGTCTGTGATATCCAGCAGTTTGGATGGTATAGATGAATCTCTGTTCACCCTCCTTCACAGAAATCCGATTGCCATCTGGGTATCTTGCGGTGAACCATTTATATCTCCCAGTGGTAAGTTTTTTTTGCTTTTACTTTCTTTCAAGCAAGTGTATTAGGGAGAGAGAAATGCATTTATAAGAAAATAAATTAAATGTGTATAATGTCAACACCACTTTTATGCAAATAACAGGAGATCTATCAATTAATATGTGCACAAGGATAGCTATATTCCTATATTTGCACAATTGCCTGTTTTTTCTTACTGGAATGGAGTATTCTTCATGGGAAAATGTCTAATTTAGTTGATAAAGAGATTCTTGCTTTGTAAAGACTGAGAATAATGGTATACATTAGAAAATAACAAATGAGTTTAATTCACACTGAAGACGACCTGTCTGCACATTTTCATTTTTAAGAATTGCACCCTTTAGGCAGTAGGTGGATGTTTAAAAAATGAGTGGTTCCAAGCCAGGCTTTCATCACCTCCAAATAGTTTGTGGAAGTGAAAAATGAAATATGGCTATTGCATATGGTAAATCTATATAGTAAAACAGCACTGTTCCTCTTTTTCTATCCCCGCCTTCCATAAAGAAATGCCTTGAGCCTTGTCATCTTTCAAATGAGGTTTCTTTTAATGACCCTTACCTTTTAATTACTTGTTTCTAATTGAATCTATTTCTTGGAGCAGAAAGTTCTTTATAAATTATTAGCTTGCATAATAAATTACTGTCGATAAAAGAAAGCAAAATAAAACATTATGTATTTTTATTACTCTAGCTTTGCAGAAAGCAAAAAAATTAGATAAACAGAACTGGCTAAAAAAGGACAAAATTTTGGCTGATTTAGACACCATGAAACACAAAATGAGACAGTTAAAAGGTCAGTATGAATTAAATCAACTATCACCATGTTTAATTCTACACAGTGTTTTTATTTCTACCATGAGATACCAGATGTTTAACTGAGTTATGCATGTATACATCTAGTGTTACAAGAGTCACTTGAACAAGTCTGAAACCTAATAATATATCTTTTCAGGACTGATTTATATTTGTAAATTTTGTGTTAAAATTAATATCGTATGATTTATATATACATTTAAAAAATTAGGAAGTTGCCTGATCATATAAACACCCTGTTGGTTTGCAACAGTTCTCGCACTGACATTTTATAGGCTTTGGAATTAATTCTTAAACAAAATTTGCTGTCATTTCTTGGGTATTGCTCTGGAAGAAGTTTTTTTAAATAATCTGAGGAAGGAAGTCTAAATCCTTCAAAGATCATTGTCAATATCTCAGAACAGCTCCCTCTTGTCCTGCAGCATAAAATATGCTATCCATAGACAAAGTGATCAATTGGCAATTGATCTTCCATATGCTTTTGTCACAGAATCTTAAGTTCCTGACCCAGCATTTCAGATACCAAATGGTTCTTTGGGGAGAAGCAGTGCATTATGGGGTTTAGTCTGGGAAGGAATTCATTTCAGGCTTTGTAATTGCCATGGCAGGATTTCATCTGCTGAGCATGTGCACTGTCTGGTGTTAAAAGCATGTGAATCTCACTTCAATAAACAACACAACTATTCCTAAGTGCACTAAACAGAACTCTGAGTTAAATGAGTATTGTTCAATTCTTACCAAAAGAACTGTTGGGTCTAAGTGAAAACAATCTACTACCACTGCTGCACATTTTCACTTGAATGTCCCATGGATATGTCCAAAACTAGAGTTACCATATCACCCCCACACCGGTGCCTCCTTCATTTCTTCTAACAGAAGAAACCTGGGAGTCATCCTAGGCATCTCTTTCTCACACATTCTCCAAGCAAGTATCAGTAAACCTTGTTGTTTCGCATCTATTAAATTTATCTTGAATGAATTCTAACAGTCTTAATTCTCACTATCATTACCCAAGTTAAAGCTATTCTGGCCTTTTCTTTGGATTATTAGAACAGCTTCCTAACTGGTCTCCCCGTCTCCAGTGTTGACAATCGTTTCCATTCTGTACATAATGGTGACATTCTGGAGGTGGAGTAATCATGCAAAAATGCGAAGGTGTCTTGGTAGTCCAGGCGCAAAACTCCCCATTTCAAAGCTCCCCATTATGTTTATGACGATGTCGAAAACTCTTTCATGTGGCCCTTCATGGTCTGGTTCTCTGTAAGCTTATGTCTTTCTTTGCCCATTCCATTCCAATTCCATTCCACCCCTTTGGGCTTTTTTTCCCAGTCCCCTAGACGTACCATATGCTTTCTTTTAACTCTGAGCTTTTTGCACAGTTCAGTTCCCTCTTGTCCTCTTAGATTGCTCCTACTCACTGTATACTTTTCAGCATACTTATTATTTCTTTCTAAGTGCTTTCCTTAACATTCCAAGACAGGGATAATGGGTTTACCACACCCTGAACTTCTGATAGTCCTCACCACGTCAGTGTAATTAACCTGGTCATGTAACGTGTGACTGTCTCTCCTATGTTATGTTATAAATTACATACCTTTGTTATTTGTTCTCTGAATAGTTTCAGAAAGATTGAATGAAAGACTGAATGGAATTTCAACCATTCACTCCAGTGAGTTTTCTCGGCTCTATTCCTGTATCAAGTTAAATCTATACAAAGCAATATACTAAAAATTGCTGCCTTGACTGAATTCTGACTTTATATCATCTTCAGCTTTTATTATAATTAAATATTAAAAAGGCATTTAAAATTCAGGTGGTATCATCTATAATATCACTGCTGAAAAGTCTATTTGGTCATATGATGTCCACTATGGAGAAATCCACTGGTAGAGTTTCTCTTAGAATTTAGTGCTAAGATAAATCTTCTCTCTTCTTGTCAACTGTTATGTTTTCTGCTAGTAAATGTAAACCCAATCCATTCTTATAAAATACCTACTCTGAGGAAGGCCTTTTCTAGTTTGGGGGATTATGAGGATACATAAGAATAAGTCTAAGTCCAGTTAACTGCAGACGCTGCTGGATTGTGACTTTCTTGAGGATCGGATGAAAGAGGAGGTATGGGAGGAATGAAGAGTAGCTGAATCAATTCTTTCTTATTATTATAGCCATTGGGAAATGCAGCAAATGTTTATTGAGTATACACTATGTACAAAGTACTGTGCTAAATGGATTTTACATTTCATTTGTAATATTAATTGTCATTGCTAATATTAATCATTATACTAATAACTTCTTAGGGATTTTATGATTAATTAACAAATGCCAACTATTTACACCATGCTTAGCACATAATAAATACTCAATAAATATTAGAACAGGAGTTCCTGAGAAGGAAGTCCCTGTTCCCACTTGGGGTTTAAACACCGATAAATAAAAGTCAAGAATGGCCCATCAGGCCGAAGTATCACCTTTGTTATGCATAAAGACAATGCTGGAGCATTTTATTTAGTGTGATAACTAAATGGAGCTGCTAAATGAAACCTCAAATAAGGGGAACTTGGACTCCCAGGCACAGATGATGCTGAACAGGGAGGGCCTCCCAATAAGGGAGGGCTATGGGGAGAGCTGTCCAGGTTTTATAGGCTGAAATTTATAGCCTGAGATTTATGATCTGAAAGAAGAGCAAAGCACTCATGTTCTCTAGCTTTCCCTATTAACAGTTGGCTATTATCATTACTTTCCCCTGATTTCCATGTGAAATACAATAGGATATATAGAAAATGTAATAAGAAAATAAAAATAATTTATTCAACACATTTTGGCTTGGTTTCCATATTCTTACCTACGTAAATAATAGTTTGTTATGAAAACCATTCCCCGAACCAAAACCTTTTGTGATGACATTATGTCTCTTTATGACAATTATACTAAAAGTGTATTCATTTCCTTAAGACCGTTAGAAGCAAGTTGACAAAAAAACAAATAATGCATAATGGTTTTTGCTTGTTCCTATATTCAAATCCTGGCTCTCAACAGTGCAAGTGATAAACTATTGCTGAACTCTCATTAACTGAGAAAAATGCTAGTGTTCAAAATGCATTATAAATAAAATACTTAGTGAAATATTATCCATAAGAATTTGTGTCATAAATTAATGTTGTCTGCACATTATGAATAAGTTGGCTAAAAGCTGTTTAGTGCATAGATATCTGTTATTTCTCTGGTATCATTGTGTCTTGGCATTGCCCCTGTAACTCATTGGCTGCCTGATTCAGTTATGTTTTCTCCACATTCATAAATTGTGTATGAATGCTCATTAGGTACATAGGATTTTGGTTTCAATGAAAATTCATTGTTGCCATTTATTTTTATCACTGGATCTATTTCCACAAACTTGAGCTACAAGAGCACAAATGCTTTATCCTCTGCAAGTCCTGAGTTATGTCAAAGAGTTTTGTTCATAGTCATATCCTGAAAATCTACACATTGAGTCCCTTGGCAACACAGTTAGGAATCAACTTCATTTTAGGATTTTTATTTTTATATCCACCTAAGTGTTACTATTTCAAAGAAGCCTTCCCTGAGACCTCAGACTAAATCAGCGACTCATCTTACGTGCTTTTATAGGCCCTGTACTTCCCTCGTGCTGCACAGTTGCAATCAATTATTGCTGTAATCATTTCCTTGACATCTGCCTTTCCCCCCAAAGTGTAAGCCTTTGAGACAAGAACCCGGTCTCAAATATATTTGTATTTACATCATCCAGCACAATGCCTGATCCACAGCTGATGCTCAACATAGGTTTCTGGAAGGAACATACAAGAAAAAACATTATTTTTACTTAAGAAGTCTCGAGATCAGTATGAGATGTAGTGCTGAGTGTCTCACCAGCACACGCAAAATTCTTAAGTATGACTTTTAAGCCTCTTTAATGATGATTGTACATGGTCTAGTTGAAAGAACGCATATATTCAAATCACCACACTTATTAAATTATGCTCGAGATCTTTGGAATACAGTATTCCAATAAATATTTTCTCTTACCACTGCTTCTTAACAGTCTAAAGGGCACAGCAGAGGTGTCAGAAACTAATTGTGCTCACGGGGTATTATTAGATAGAAAAAAGGCCTCCTGTCTCTTGGGTTAATATTATTTTAAAAATACTTAATCCCCAGGCTGCTAAGCTAATTGTGGGGGAAAGGCTTATTATTAGTGAAGAGAACAAAACATATGTTCCATGACGGGAAGAGATGATGGGCTATGTAGGTCATGGATTCTATTTGACTAAATTACCGCTGAACCATCGCGCGGATGAGTGGCTGGGGCCAGTGTGGAAGTCAGCCTGTTCCCTTCCTTTTCCATCTGTACAGTGAGTATTCGTATCCTGGCTGTTCGAAGCCTCCAGCTCCCATACGAAGAGGCATTGTTAGGTATTATTACCTCAGGCATCTTCGCTTTTATGATATATTTAGTGTTTTAGCCTATGCTCCCCAGTGGAATGATTTATGCATAGAAAGCCAAACCAATTTATTTGAAATCTGAAAGCTCATCATCAGAAACAACATTTCCAGAGACTTCTTTCCCCAGGGCGGCGAGTAGCTGCATGTCAGCCGGCCACCATGGTTCCCAACCAAAGCCCTGTGCAGCCGGTGGTGGTGGAAGGAGGCTGGATGGCGCAGACTCAGGAGGAAATTACACTCACGGAACTTATAAGACATACAGAGGTAAGTTCTATAGGACTCAAGACATTAAAGACTCTGCTTCTATTACAGGTGTGCAAAAGTACAGTATTGCATTTTAAAATTATGCTATTAATATGATCTCAGCATCTGGTCAGTTACGACCACATAGGCATATGCCAAGCCTTGAGTTGGCATTTGGACAGTAGCTATCTAAAAGACATCCAGCTCATATGGAAGTCTGTTTTGTTTGAATGGAGACCAGAAATTATGACCTTAGCCAAGAAGAGAAAAAGGCCCAGTGGATATGTACAAAGGTGATTATAATAAGTGTATTCAAGTCGAGCCTTATGGCTTCATTGCTCATCACTCCTAAGGGTATGTCTCAATATGTAAAAAGAGCAAGGAGCAAAATACTAATTGCAGCGGAGACATTCAGAAGTGAGGAATTCAAAAAGCTGTTTCAGTCCAATTGCTTCATCAGTCAGGATGGCTGGACATAAAGCAGGCAAGAAGAGAAAGGTCATCTGTTGAGAGAGGACTGGGGATAGAGACCTGGGAGAACTTTTTGCTTTGTGAAGTTTTCACCCAAATGATATGTTCTTATTTAATAGGGTTTTTCAAACCGTGACATGTGTTCAATCTAAATCTTAGATGTGTGCCCAAGTCAAGGTTACCAGAAAAAAGAAATTGACATTGCTAGAAATATGAGTCCTTGCCAAGCTAAGAAGGATGGAGCACTGACCAGGGGATGAAGGCAAAGCACTGAGCGAGGGCATGCTTGAAGTGGGATGAAGAGCCGACTGGCAGGGGTCTGGCAAAGCGTGAGGGTGGCTGCTGTCTCTCCAAAGACAGAGAGCAGGGACTTCGACGACAGTTCTCCTGCACACTCCCTTAAGCGCTTCTTGGTTAAAGAAAAGGAGGCGGTAATTCTAATCGAAAACTCATTTGTTAGATGCAGAGAGCTTTCTTGGTAGGAGAAACACCGTGCAGGAGTCCAAAAACACGTGTCTGTTCCTGATTTCAAATTAGAAATGGAAGTCAAGTGCTTTGCCCAATCGAGCGCCTTGTTCTCACCGCGATCACGGTTGCCTTCAGTGATCCACTGACGAGGGACATTTACGGGAGACTCGGGGACAGGGGAGGGCCACGCACTTCCTGAAATGTGTTCAATGTAATTTACGACAATAAGATTCCTGCCTTTCATCACAGTCTTCACACACACACGCACTACACAGACCACACCCGAAGCATGGCGTTCTCCGGGCTTTTCTCGACAGGCACACCTTTCTGAAGTCCAGGAACGACAACCCAAGAGGTGTTCTCCACCTGCGGCCAAGCGTGCAGCCCTGGAGCAGAGCAGCCTGTACGAGCGGCCCAGCGCCAAACGGGTCTGGGCCTATCCGAACGGAGGCAGACCCGAGGACGGCACCTACGCCTGGGGCAGAACCGTTCCAGAGGTAAACCGAGTCTGAGGGGAGAGGGTTTCACAGGTCTGGGTTCAGATCCCAGTTCTGACATTTCTAGATTGTTAGGTCAAACAAACTATCTCCCTACACCTCATTTTCTCAGCTGTAAAATGAGAATAATACTTTCTTCACAGGATTGATATGACAACCAAGTAAGCTTCTAGGAGTGAAAGTGTGGAGTCGGGTGTGTGATGTGTGTGAATCAGAACAGGAGCCTTGTCCAGCAGAAAACTATACCAGTTAAACCCACTGCAGCCCATGAGTACAATCTAAACTTCCAAATAATTTAAAATAGTTTTCCTATTCTGTTTAAAACCAGTTTATAAAGGATGACTTTTTCCCCCTGTCAGGTATTATTCTGTAGGAAAAACAATAGTATTCATTAGAGAAAACGCATGCACGGTTGGTGTGGCTCAGTGGTTGAGCGTCAACCCAGGCACCAAGACGTCACCAGTTCGATTCCCGCTCAGGGCACATGCCCAGGCTGTGGGCCCGATCCCCAGTGAGGGGTGTGCAGGAGGCAGCCAATCGATGTTCTCTCTCATAGATGTTTCCATCTCTCTCTCCCTCTCCCTTCCTCCCTCTCTCTAATATCAATAAAGAAAGAAAACCCACCATAGTCTTCCTCCCCAGAGTCCTGAAGCTGCAGCGAACTTTTCATTTTCCAAAGTTAACATATTGACTAAGGAAAAGATGGGTAGCAGTTTACTTATTGTTTGAAATATTCTAAGAAAATGCACTTCTGAACTTTATCCCATGGATATTTTCACGAATTTATGCAAGGATTATTTAATAAGAATATTTATCACAAGGCTATTTATAATACATATAGATGAGAAATCCTTTAAACACTCATGAATAGGGAGTTGGTTAAATGAATTATAGTACATAGGATGGAATAGAAATCAAAGTCAACTTTAGAAAGAATAATGACAATAACATTGTTTAAGATATACTAAGTGAAAGAAGCAAAATATAAAGCACGTGGAATGGAATTCTATATACATTCATGTACACACCTAGAAAAAAGACTGGAAGGATTGTATTTTTGGAAGTATTTTCTGGATGGTCTTAATAGAGGTGGTATTCCTCGCTTGTGTGCTTTTCTATGTGTTCCATATTTTGTTGTGATGAACACAGATTGTCCTTGTAAGAAAAATGTGTTTGCTCAGGGAGCTAACACTCTTCTTGGGAAGTACTAAGAGGATGTGACATGGTCAGATTAGTAGTGCAGGCAGAGGTCATAGCCCAGAGGAGGGGAACACTGCCCACCTGGGAGGAGGAGAAGGAATCAATCAGGACCTCTAATGGAACTTGAGAAATGGGTCAGATTCAACATCTTAGGCAGAAAAAGCATTAACAAGGATGAGTGTACCACACTCAAAGATATGGGTATTAGGGTATCAGAATTCACAAATCATATTATGAAGATGGTCCTTGGACTGAGAAGTAGGGAGAGATTCATACAACTGGAGACATTGTTTCAAAGCTTGCGGTCGACCCCACACGCCATCTGTATTAGTTACCTGGACTGCCGTAACAAAATACCACAGATGGGTGGCTTAACAGAACTTACTGCTCAGGGTTCTGGAGGCCCAGCAGTCTGACTGAGGTCAAGGTGCCAGCAGGGTCGGATTCTGCCAAGGCCTCCCTGTCTGGCTTGCAGCCAGCCTCCGCTGTGCGTGCCCACACAGCCTAACCCTGTGCACGCGTGGAGTGGGAGACAGAAAAGGCTCCAGGCTCTCTCTTCTCTCAGAAGGCCACAGCCCTATCGGATTAGTGCCCTACCCTTTGGCCTCATTTACCCATAATGCCCTCCATAGAGACCCTTTCTCCAAATACAGTCACATTGAGTGTCACGGCTTCAGCCTATGAGTTTTCGGGGGGACACAGTGCAGTCCCTGCACTATTCCAGACTACAGTGTCTCTGAACAAGGAACTGTCATCATGCAAGCAATGTTTTGGGGAGATTAATGTGACCTCAGTGTATAGAAAGATACTTAGGAAATGCCTAGAAAGTTTTCTGTATGTTAGTTCTTCTTTTGCTTTACTTCAAAAAAGAAAAGAAAAAACGTGTTTTCTTATCTCTTTCTTTTCCTTTTTCTGTGCTCTTTATTTTTGTTTCGAGGGTCCCGCCGAAGGTCCTCTGTGATCAGAACTATATCCTCTCAGGCTATGCGCCTGTAAAGGATGCTTCTGGAGCGGGGACCTGTGTGTGAAGCAAATAGACGCTGGGAAGAGCGGGGCTCAGATTTCCCTGGGGGATCTGGCTAATGTCACCAATTCCAGAGAAGCTAAAAGTTGTAGTGGTGGGTACTTCTATCAGCAGAATGAGGAACAGAACACAGTTCGAAGCACTTCCGTCGACTTTCTGTAATGAAAGCCCCAGACAGTATTCGAATCCCGTCTAACGCAGGCTTTCCCTCAACGTCTTGCCCTGCTGCGGCCATTCTGGATGATTTAACCACAACCTCCCTACCCACTCTTTGAACATTGCGAGATCAACTCCCATCCCCAGCCGCTGTAGGCTCATCTGTCATCCATGCACCAAGGTGGTTTCCTCACCAGATTACTGGCCCCGTCTTCAGGCCTGACATCTTTCTCTGATTTATGATGGCCCGGGCCCCTCCTCCTATTGCCTGGAAGCATTTGTCTTCTCCCATTCCCGCAACATCTCTCCTATTCTACAGAATCTCAAAAGCAGTGTGTTCTCTCTCAGCCAGGAATAGTTCTGAATGTATGAGTGGAAGCTGAAAGTATGAGAAATAGGTCCCCTTGATTGGGAGGGACAAGTACCTCCTGCCCACAGGGAATGTGCAATAGTTGCATGACGCCCATGGGCCTGCACCAAGAAGAGCTGGTCTAGGAAAATTAAACTCACAAAATAGACTGTGCGAGGGAAGTGATGCATAGAACATCGTTCCTTTGTTATGAGCTTTTGTTATTGCAAAAATTACAAACATGCCATTTGTATTAGCCACCTTAAAGAAGACACTTGAGTAAACATAGATTCATTTGAAAAGCTGAGAAAAGAATGTCGTTAGAGGTCAAAAGCTGCTTTAATATTTTAGAATCTATGCTGAAAATGCCTCATTTTCAAATTTTTTTTTAAAAGAGTTTTGTAAATTCACTGAGTTTATCTCATGTAAATAGATCTTTGTGAAAACCAAGTGAAATAGTGATATATTTAATTCATATTTTACATTTGGTATCTGTTTTTATTAAGTAATATTCATTTTTCTGATTATAGGCAAACATGACCTGTATAGATTAGTGACATTTTAGTGGTAAAGTAGGAAAAAAAATTTAAGAATTACCTTTATGTGGGATCTTTTCAAGCTACACAAGTTTCTTCCAGAGACTTATCTAGACTTATTTTTAGGACAGCTCCCAGCCCACATAGAAACTGAAATATCATACCCTTTGATTGCACTAGAGCAGAAAAAAAATATAAATAACTGCTGTGGATTGAACTGTGTACCCTTCAAATGTGTATCTTGAGGCCCTAATCCCCAATGTGACTCTATCTGGAGGCAGAGCATTTAAGAGGCAATCGGGTTAAATAATGGTTGAAGGGTGGGGCCCTAATCTGATAGGATTGATGGCCTAATGAGAAGAGGAAGAGAGAGAAATTACTCTCTGCTCCCACCATGTGAGGACACAAGAAAGCAGCTGTCTGAAGGCCAGAAAGAGCTCCCAGCAGAACCGGATCAGCCCGCCGCCTGCTGCTCGTGGCATCCCGCCTCCAGAACTGGAGGAGTAAGGGTCTGCTGTTGAACGCACTCAGTGTAGGTATTTGTTTCGGGAGCCCCAGCCCTCTAAGGCCGTGCCGATTGTTATGGAAAATTTAGAAAAGTCACAACCGGAAACCGTATCCATCTACTGCTACTGCATTTTTTTTATTCTTTGAATAACATTCTGTTTTCTAATCTTATAAGTGTATAGTCATCGTCTAAAAATTAGAAAAATAAAAAGCACCAAGGAGGAAATGAACATTCTATCAAAAGCCACAAATAACCATAGTCATTATAATTTTAGTAGATGTGTTTCTGTGGTTTCTATACAGTTATAATTTTTTGTCATTGTGGTCCTAGTAGATCACTGGGCATATATAATTTTGCAATCTGCTTTATTCACCCCCAAATTATTGTGACTTTATCCATAAAATTTCATTATTTTCAGTGGCATCATTGTCTCCTATCAAATAGGTGGATTGTTGTTTATTCATCCTGTTTTCTGTTGTTTGCCATTTAAGTTGTTTTTAAATTCTTGCTAGTATAAAGCATGCCCCAACGAACACATTTATATCTAAATCTTTACTTAATTTTTTAAATTCCCAAATAAATTCTTAGAAGGATGGCTAAGTCAAATTGCATAACCATGCTTGAGAATTTTGATACCTAGTGCCACATTGTTTTCTAGGAAATTTCAGGAGTTTATACTCCCACAAGTAGTGAATAAGATCTCCCACCCGCCTGTTATGTGTGAGGTATCAACGATGCTAAGCAGTTAGTGAGAAACATGTTATCAGATTTGACAAGAGAAAATGTTACATCCATGATTTAATTTATATGACTTTAATAATTTGTAAAGTGATTTTGCTTTGCTTTGTGCTGTTGTTGTTTTGCTATTAATTAGTCATCTGTGATTCCCAGTTAATTCCTTTGCAATTTTTCTGTTAGAAGTATTTCTCACACTAATATAATATTTTTGTCTTCAGTCAGGTAAGGCTATTATATTGCAACTTTATCAGGTTTATGGTATCAATTTTCTAATTTTTCATTGTGTCTCTGGGTTTTTTAATGGACAGAAATGAATACATTTTATGTTTGCTCATTGCTTTTAATGGTCAGATAGTCCTTTAGTATCCTGTGGTCATGTAAAGATTCATCTGCTATTTCTTAAAACTTTTATAGTTGAGTTTTTTCTAGTGTAATATTTCAGTGAAGCTATTTTTCTTCTTTATGTAGTTAGCTTAAAATCATCATTTAACCCCTATTTACTAACTAATCTTTTTTTTATTGATTTTTTAGAGAGAGAAGAGGGGAGAGGGAGAGAGAGAGAAACATCGATTGGCCGCCTCCTGTTTGTCCCCCACTGGGGATCGGGCCCACAACCTGGGCTTGTGTCCTGACCGGGAATCAAACCGGTGACCTCTTGGTGCATGGGTCGATGCTCAGTTACTGAGCCACACCAGCTGGGCCACTGACTAATCTTTTTTTGTTCTCATTGAGATGGAATACAGACTTTATAATATACTAAATTCTTATATACACTAACTTCTATTTTTAAGCTAGTTAATGTACCTAATTCTTTTAGAAATATTATAGATTTATATTTTAATATCTGATAAAAGTTCCAATTGGTGCAGTTTATTTTCAAATTTTACTTGAATGCTCTTGATTGTTTATTCCTATGGATGAATTTTGGGATTATATTCCAACACCCTAAAATCATCCTACAGAGGTTTTTATTGTATTGGCCATTGATTAATTTCATAAGAATTTACATGTTATACAATATTCAGTCTTCGCAGTTAGATTGAATTCTATCATTCATATATATATATATATATATATATATATTATATATATGCTTTTTTTTTTTTCCTCACTCGAGGACATTTTTCCATTTTTTGTTCAGGTAGAGTGGGAGGGAGAGAGAGGAAGAGAGAGAGAGAGAAACATCGATGTGAAAGAAACACATCGAGTGGCTGTCATCCGCACAACCGACCAGGGCCGGGGACAAACTGCAACTGAGGTACATGCCCTTAGCGGGAACCGAACCCGGGTCTCTCAGGACCGCAGGCCGACGCTCTAACCGCTGAGCCAAACCGGCCAGGGCTATATATGCTTTTTTTTTTCTCAAAAAAATTGTAAAAATGTTTATAAGGGTCTCACATTTAAAAGTCCTTGGCCCTGGCCGGTTTGGCTTAGCGGTTAGAGCATCGGCCTGCGGTCCAGAGAGACCCGGCTTCGGTTCCCGCTAAGGCCACGTACCTCAGTTGCAGTTTGTCCCCTGCCCTGGTTAGTTGTGCGGGTGGCAGCCACGTCAATGTTTCTCTCTCAGTCTCTCTCTCTTTCCCTCCTACTCTATCTGAACAAAAAATGGAAAAATATCCTCCGGTGAGGATAAAAATAATAATAATAAAAGTACTTGTTATTTCTAGTTGGTTTTGCTGTTGGGATGGATTTCCCTCCACTATATTTTCTAAATGTCTGTATTTGGTGAACAAAAAACTATTAATGTTTTATAACTTATGTTATGCTTGGTCACTTTATTAAGCATTCTTCTTTTTGTCATTAATTTCCCTTTGATTCACAAAATTTGTCCAAGAATGAAATCATATTAAACTTATTAATCATGATGATTACTTTGCCTCCTCTTTAGAACCATTTCTCCTTTTCTGATGTTATGTATTATTGCAGTGGTTATACTCATCAACGTAAAGATTCCTAACAGAAGAAACAGCAGCAGCAGCGTGCTTTGTGGGCAAGAGCACCTGGACAGATAGAATCGCTTGGTTTTTCTTTTCCTTGACCATGTCCCTTTTTAGTGATATTTTACATTTTTACTTTATCCTTTTCTCTATGAAGACTTGTTTTAAAATGTTTTTGTAGCAGCCCTGACCAGTTTGGCTCAGCGGTTAGAGCGTCAGCTTGCAGTCCGGAGAGACTCGGGTTCAGTTCCCGCTAAGGGCATGTACCTCGGTTGCAGTTTGTCCCCGGCCCTGGTTAGTTGTGCGGGTGGCAGCCACTCGATGTGTCCCTTTCACATCGATGTTTCTCTCTCTCTCTCTCTCTTCCTCTCTCTCCCTCCTACTCTATCTGAACAAAAAATGGAAAAATGTCCTCGGGTAAGGATAAAATAAAATAAAATGTTTTTGTAGCAGTTGAACCATGTTCTACTAGTCTAACTGGTTAATACTAGTCATATTATATTATGGCTTTCCCATAGTAAAGGAATCGTATTCAATTCTTAATAATCTGAAATGTATGTGAGTAATGTGTTTCTGATTTTTTGTATGCATGAGAATATCTTTTGTTTCCTGTAACCAAAAGTAAGAATTTAGCTAGATATTAAATTCTTATGTTAAAAATATTTTCCCCTAAAAATTTCATGGATTTTGCTTTATTTTCTTAGGTAGTCATTGTTGCAGAAAACAGGTCTAGACAAAACTGAATTTTTTCCTGTGTCTAAAATTCACACGTTTCACCCAATTATATTTAAATGTGAGTCTTTTTTTTTTTTTTTTCATTAACTTTGACTTACCCTGCATTAACCTATTTGATCTAAAGACATGTGCCTGTTTCAGACAGGAAAGTTTTCTTCAATTTTTTTGATCATTGTTCAAGTTTAATTTATTCCGGATTCTTCTCTGGTAACATCACATGTATAGGTTTAATATCTGATGTCTTGACATTCCAGATGTTTAACTTTCTCTCGTAAATTGTTTGTCTTATCCTTTCCCTATATCCTATGAGATTGTCTCAACTTAATCACTTAGTCGTCCCTAATGCTGACTTGAGTTTCTACAATTTTGAGTCTGCTTTTTTCTGTTTCGAAGACGGATTTTAATTTTACTGTTGAGTCTTTGATTTTTGTTTTGTTTTTACCTTTTCTCCTCTTCTTATTCAGCTCTTTATTCATCCCAATTTGAAGTTCTATTCCTTTTCTTACTGGCTGTGTGACCTTGGTTATGATATTTAACCTCTCTGTTGTCCATTTTGCTCATCAACAAAATAGGAAATAATCATTTCCAAAAATGAAATTAACTTGTACTTGAGAACTTTCAGAAAAGTTTCCAGCTTGTAGAAGTATGATGATAAATCTTAGCTGCTGTATTTGTTACTGTCATGTCATCATCATCATCGTCATTGTTATTGTCATCATTTTCATCATCATCATCTCTGCCTGCATCTCAGCAATGCTCCTTTTCTTTACGTGGTTGTCATCTAATAACTGCGTGTGTGTTTGTGTGTGTGTGTAAGTCATACTTGATTTTTGGGGGCAAAATATAGATACTCTCTAAAACGTACTCCTGCTTTAAATCTTTCTCTAAATCTTCATCTTGAGCATCATTGTACCCATTTGATGCTGTAGAATATTTTTGTGAGCCTCGCATTGTTGCTGTTCATTTCTCCACTTGTACCTCTTTGTGCGGGGTAAGGTCTCCTGACGGAGAACGGGACAGATTAGTTCTCTAAGTCTTACCTTGGGAGTCAGGATTCTCCCCTGTTTGAAGTGGGAGGGCCGGTTCCGTGCACAGGGTTCGGTCAGACTGCTGCTGACTGGCCGATATTTAGGAGGCGGGAGGGCTGTCTTGAACACCCTCCCACTGCTCTTCTCTGACTAGCCCGCTCCGCAGAGGGGAATGCATTCTTGGATAATTTTAATTACTATTATTTAATTCAATCCATTCATCTCTTGCTCAAAATAGCGGGTGAGAACCGCTCTCTGTGAATTCCAGCATCTCATCACCCTCTTGTCTTGCTTCATATCACCGATCGTTTTCCACACGCGAGGGGTCCCTGTGTGCCAGCTGTCCCCCTGCCAGGCACGGTAATGAACTGCAGCCCCTGAGCAGATCCAAGGAAGAGGCGTTGGCGGTGGTTGAGGCTGCTGTGGACCTGGCTCGTGCATTTCAGGGCAACAGGCACGTGGTCAGTACGATGGAGAACGTCGTACGGTCAGGTGTGTAAACACCTCTTCCTTTCCTGCTGCTTGTTTTCATGACGTTGTCTTCAGGTCTTATTCACACCCTGATGGACTTCCCTGTGGGCTCTGGCGGCGTGATGAGTAACCTCGTGCGTTGACACTTTGCAAAAACACTTTGTGAGTTTTTATGAATATTTCAAGAAAACTTGAGAAACATTGACTAAGACCCCTCCTGATCGTTTTCTAATTTAACAAGTTTTTTTTTTCTTTTTTTAAGACTTTCTAATCATAGAATTATCGCGTCAGAGAAGTCTTAGGCCAAAGCTTTGACTTTGTAGTTGGAGACTCGTTCATGGGGAAGTTGCCTGGCTCGTGTGGAATCAGGCCCCGGCCCGGCCCGGCTCCATGCCTTTGTCCTCTGGTTCCTTGCTTCTTGAAAAAATAATTTAAAACTATTCTGTCAAGTCTAGATGCTCAAACCAGAGTTTTTCATATTGATACATATCTTAAACAGCAAGAAGTCTGTTCCACGTGGAAGAATAGAGAACTAAAAGGAAAAGTCCACTGGACAGCACTGACATTCCTCATTGTTCGGGTACTTGAGTGAACTTTTTTTTTTTAATCCTCACCTGAGGATTTTTTTTTCTATTTATCTTCAGATAGAATGGGAGGGGGGGGGAGAGAGAGAGAGAGAGGGAGAGAGAGAGAGAGAAACGTCAATGTGAGAGGGACACATCGACTGGTTGCCTCCCACATGACCCACGAACCGCAACCGAGGTACGTGCCCTTGACGGGAATCAGACCTGCGACCCATTGATCTGCGGGCCGATGCTCTAACCACTGAGCAAAACCGGCCAGGGATACTTGAGTGAACTTTTTACATCTTTCTTTCCATCTCCTTTTATACCTTTCTAACAGTTATAAATAAAACGAATGTTCAAATCAGGATGCTATTTCTCTTAAAAGAGCTGATTCTTTAATACTTAATTATGTTGTGACAGTCCACCTTCCAATAAATACCAAGTCTGTCCCCTGCTGTTTCAGCTGCTGGCTGACTGCACCTCCCGTCTGAAGATGGCCCGCCCAGCCAGGGCTCTGTACACGCCAGGCGGAGAGCCCATTGTGTCATGGGATGATGTGGAGCGAGACATGGTCATCTGTGCGTCCACCGGACATGGCTTTATAACCCAGAAAGGTATGGTGGCAGTTTCTCGTCCCCCAAGTGTCTGCAGAATTGAAGTGGTCGGCTCTCTTCAATTAGCTTCTCCCTGTACTGCTCTAGTCCACGTCACTACAGTTACGCGTCTGCGTTTGTGTGCCCGGTCCGCACTGTTGACACTGTGTGCGCCAAAGAATTCAAAGTGAAAAAGAAAGAATTTAAAGTTCTGTTAGTCTTGTGCTCTGTCCAAGGGGCTTATTTACAGAAATTCTAAAGGGCCTAATTTTAAGGCATTTCCTTAGCATGTACCCCGAGGAAAGTGAGGCCCCACGGGCTGCCTACTTCTCCGGTTATTTAAAACTTCGTGTTTTATGACCAGCAGCCATGCGGCTTGCAGATTTCCTTTCTTTAGCAGTAATATATGCTCATTTCATCATCTTGTCTGTTCTTTGACGATCTTCTTCGGTGAATGGTAGCAGTGGAAAAGAACGTCTGTTTGTTTTAAACCCACTGTTGTCCTTTATCCGATTTATCCTGAGGAACTTGACGCCCTCTTTGCTAGGTGGGCATATATCAGCAAGGACATAATTTTTAGGAAATTCTGAAAAACATTGGTTTCACTTTAAAGGAAAGTGTATAGGAAGTGAATTGCCTGGGATTCCTAAAATAATAAAGCTAGATTATTCCTTTTAAAGAGTCGCCATAAAATGATTATTACTGCTGTATATAAGGTACGTAAACCCAAAGATTTCCAAGCTGTTGCAATTATATGTTTACATCTAGTCCAGAAGGGACAAAAGCATAGACGTGGAGACTAAAGAGTAGGAAAACGGGGATTTATTGGCCTGCCCAGCCCTGTTCTGGGGAATGCTACTACTGTTCCTCTAGCACCTTCCTCTCTTAAGGAGCAGGCTCCAATCTTGTATTCTATTGTCCCCATCACTCACCATCACCCAGCAGCCCAGCTCCTGCTGACCCTCACTATGTGGTTCCTTAGAAGACACACCAATGATGGGTTCTTATCATCCGTATTCGTTGACAGCTTTCTGTGTTCCCAAAGTGCATAGCCTATGAAAGAAATCCTTCGGGGTTCCTTCCCTGAAACAGTTTTCAATCTAAGTATATAAACGCACTTGAAATATTACAGCACGACTGACTAGTAGGAGGCACTGACCAAGTCCCTTCATTATTCATGTTTAATCTTTCCTGCTCTTGGGATGGCCCTCTGTCACCTGGACCGCACCCTCCTGGCCTCACTGTGTTCACTGGGCCTCTCTGATAAATAAAGCTAAGTGTGCTTCGGTCAACCTCGCCAAAAGGGCATCCAAACCCAGTGAGAGATGTAGGCTGCTCTCCCAAGAGGCAGGCCCGCTACCAATGAAAACTGTGAAAGGAAGAGAGAAAATTGGAAATGCAAATATTGCGCTCCCTACCATTTTCCTCCACGCTGGCTCTGTGAACCCGGCAGGGCTGTGTGGACAACTGTTCGTGTTTGCTGCTTCAACTTCGTAAGCGCGTGGATTGCTACGATGTGCAAGTTACTTATTCCCTTACGAAAGAAGGTTCCCGTATTACCTTCATATGGTGAAAGGGTTAGTGGTTTTCTGCAATTGTCTGAATTCTTTCCAGTAAGTGATATAATGTTCTAAAAAATCTGATCGATAGCAGACTTTTAATTTAGACGTTCTGTAGAAACTTATGTTACTATATGAGTGTCATTATTGTGTTTCTGAAATAATTAACTTAGAAATAATTATTGACTAGAAGTCTAAATATTCAGAATGTTTAAAAAGAGAGAGAGAAATGCTGCTAGCATATATATATATATATATATATATATAAAGGGATGTTTAATTATTTAGTCATTTCACTCATAAATTTTCTGTGACTTCCTGGCTTATATGTAGTAGAAAATAAGACAGCCTGGGAGTTTCAAAACTAAATATAATAACTTATTTTCTGTACTACAATGTAAAAACATTTAGCATGTGGAGGTTCGTCATCAAATATCACACCGAGTTTTTGAAAACTGACTTTGGTTTGGCCAAGCAAATCGAATGCTGTTGGAATGGTTTCCTTCACTCAAACCGCCAACGAAAGTCAGAGAGCTTCATGCCATTTGTCGTGGGACTTGGACACCCTTCTCACTGCTGTGTTTGCCACCTTTTCCGTGGGCTCAATTTTCAGACCGCTCCTCGGCTGGCTTTCAGTTCAGGCACCTAAAGGGCCTGGAAGGAGCCCCTCTCTGGCAACGGCCATTCTGCAGACATCCCAGGAGTGTGAGCACGCGTCTGCTGGGATAAGCAGGTCAAGCGCCAATGAGAGGGTCCCGTGTGGGCGTCGAGGGCTTCTGAGCGAACGTGGAGAGTCTCATTATCCTGAACTTTTCATTATTTCCCATAAATACATTGACTTGTCTCTCAAAATAATTTTTTTTTTAACAGAGTTAAAACAAGTGGTGGAGATCAGAGCGAATTATGCCAGGATCCGCAGGCAGCAGGGCCCGCAAGCCACCGACCTTGTGGTGTCTCCCCTGGAGAAGCTGCAGTCTCTGGTACATGGGCGCGATCTCTAGCACAGCCACCCTGTCCGGGCTGCACTTTGCTGGTGGAGCCTGGACATATGGAGACTAATGTACTTGCTCCATTCATCCTTCGGATTTTTTCATCTTTGCCCAAGGATATGTTTGTACTGAGTTTGTTGTTGTTTTTATTTTATTTTTATTAGAAATTTGTTTAATGTTGACATTGTTGCAGAAGGCTCCCTCCCCCCACTTTGCCCACCTCCACCGACCCCCACCTACCCCTTCCTTGGCCTTTACCAAATTATTGTCCATGTCCATGTGGTATGCATATATGTTCTTTAGCTATTTCCTTCACCTTCTTTATCCATAACCCCCACCCACCTCCCCTTGGGCACTGGCCAGTCTGTTCCATATATTCATGCTTCTGGTTCCATTTTGTTAGTCTATTTTGTTCATTAGATTCCACATATTAGTGAGCTCATATGATATTTTTCTTTCTCTGAATGGCTTATTTTACTTAGCATAATACTCTCCAGGTCCATCCATGCCGTTGCAAAAGGCAAGAGTTCCTTCTTTTTTCACAGTTGCATAGTATTCCACTGTGTAAGTATACCACTGCTTTTATATCCACTCATCTGCTGATGGGCACTTGGACTGTTTCCAGATCTTAGCTATTGTAAATAGTACTGCTATGAACATAGGGATATATTATTCTCTCTGATTGGCAGTTCGAAATTCTTAGGGTATATGTCCAGAAGTGGGATCATTGAGTCAAAAGGCAGTTTCATTTTTAATTTTTTGAGGAAACTCCATACTGTTTTCCACAGTGGCTGCACCAGTCTGCATTCCTACCAGCAGTGCACATGAGTTCCTTCCCTTTACTCCACATCATCACCATCACTTGTTTGTTGATTTATTGATAGTAGCCATTTTAAGTTGCAAAATCATAAAAATCCTAGAAGAAAACACAGGCAGTAAAATCTTAGACATCTCTTCCAGCAATGTATTTGCCAATATGTCTATGAGGGCCAGGGAAACTAAGAAAAAGATAAACAGTTGGGACTACATCAAGCTAAAATGCTTCTGTACAGGAAAAGAAACCATCAACAAAATGAAGAAAACCCACTGTGTGGAAGAACATATTCGCCAATGATACGTCCATTAAGGGGTTAATTTCCAAAATATATAAAGAACTTACTAAACTCAACAACAGGAAGCAAACAGTCCAATTAAAAAATGGGCAAAGAACCTGAATCGACACTCCTCCAAAGAGGACATATAGATGGCCAACAGTCATATGAAAAAAATACTCAACGTCACTCATCATCAGAGATGCAAAGAAAAACTACAATGAGGTATATTTTTATAGCATTTTAGAAAGAGAGAGAAACATTGATATGAGAGAGAAACATCAATTAGTTGCCTCCCATATGCACCCCAACCAAGGATCGAACCTGCAACCTTTTGGTGTAGGGGACGATGCACCAGCCAACTGAGCCACCCAGTCAGGGCCATCCATTTTAATTTTATGCTGTCTCTTTAAAAAGTTATTACCTTCACAGTTTAAGTAGAGCCGCATTTGATGCTTCAAATCTATTCCTGGAAAGGCAGCAAAACTAGACACAGCAATGCCAGTAAAATAACTATGTGAAGTATATTTTCTTCCAGGGGAAAAACAAAAAAAAAGAAAAGTACTAGTTATGATTGAAAAGTAATTTAGTGGTGTCAAGTTACATGTATATTTAAATAATAAAATAGACTCTTCAACCACCTAACGTTAAATTTGACCCGTACTGACATTTTTCTGGCTCAGCCACCGTATTTTCCAAATGTCCATGTTTAAATCCTACATCTACTGAAGGAAAGGAAATGGCTGGTGGCCACCAAATGCCACACGAGCCCATCTCTCTCCTCCAATTTCCCCTCGGTTTGGCATGAAGTAAGGGTGCAGGACTCTATAGGGCAGAGCTAGACACTGTCACCAGAGTGAAGCTGGGTAATTGCAGACGTAAGCTCATTAACCAAAAGTCACGGACTGTGTCCTCAATGCAGAAACTCTGGGAGGGGATAGATGCAGTGTTTGAAGAAACAGTCATGTGATGGTTTTGTTTATTTTTGTATGAGAGGATCAAGGGCGATTCTTAGCAATCTTCCGTGCCAATTTCTCCCTGCATTGCAGAAAGAATAATTTTTTAAAAAACGGCAGTGACAAACCAGACTTTGGTTTCTGGTCTGGGCGGAAAATTTCCAGAGAAATGCTCGTTTTCTCTCTCTCCCTCTGAAAACCACTCACAGCTCTGTCTGAATATAAATTGCAACCTGGCTAGGTGTGTGCAGAATGGCTCAGCTGGGCTCGCTCCTCCATCCACCACGTTCCCGGGATGCAGGGAGGCAGTAGATCATTGCCGCCGAAGGGGGCTCTTGGTAACCGCTGCAGAAGACCCCGTCGTGACTCCCAGTCTTCAAATCAGTGGGGCCGCATGAATAAATTCCCGCCGCCTCCCACACTGCTAACAGCAGAGCACATTGAGGTGAAATTTCACGTTCCATCCACGGCAGTTTGCCTTCTGCAGACATTTCCTCCACTCGCGGTGCGGTGTTAGAGATGGGGAGGCGTTCCGGAGCTGCGCCGCGGTGCGTACAAAGAAAAGATGGCATTTATTTTGTTCAGTGTTTTTTTTAGCAAGAAGCTTCAGAGAAGGGTGAAGGAACATGCTTCCAGTTATGAACTGGGCCAACAGAATTCTCTTTGTTTTTTTTTTTTTTTTTTCCTTTTTAGAAAGATTTTTGTTTAAATTTTTTCAATTATAGTTTGCATTCAATATTATTTTATATACCTCCCGGTGTGCAGCATAAGGCCAACAGGATTCTTAATCTGCTGGGCCTCTCTTAGAACGACAGGATCACAATCCCCATAGACACAGAGCATTTTCTGTTTTTTTCAAAACATCTTGAAAACAAAAGCATTCCTGTAGGTGCAAAAGTACCTCTCATTTTGCTGTCAAGGATAAGTTGATTTGCTATGAAAATGGTATAATTTCACCCTGGATCAAATGTGCAAATTCCTGCGAAGTCTTCGGTGTTACATGTGAGCACGCCTGAAGCGAAAATTGGTAATATCACACAATGTGCATCAAGCACCAGGAGACGGAAGGCAGAACTCTGAACCGAACTTTTCTATTACTAGTAAATGGGATTTTAGATGTAATGTAACAGTCATCAACACATCACATTTTGCCAGCAAGGCAGCGACACTGACTTCGTTGACGACGGCTTGCCCAGGGTATGTTGGCAGTTCAGAGCCACTTTTAACTTAGACTAAGGACAGCCCTGCTCTTTCCTCATTATTGACCTTCCTCTTTGGTTGGCTGGAAGGTGGACTGGGGAGCAGTTACTCCAACTTCAGCGAGGACTAGAGGATAAGACTGTTGCAATGCTGTTCAGCCTTCCTAGGCTTTTAATAGACCCAGTAATTTCCTTTGGGGACATGCTTATCAAATTTGAATCAGCCTCATATGTATAAGTCACATTTCAATATTTTTCTATCAACTGGAAACCATTCATTATTAAACATTGTAGCAACCATCCTCAAGTCCATGGCTTTGTCCAGAAATGTATTTCCTCCTGCTGGTTCACTAACACCCTTAAGGTGACCCAGATGTCAATGAACAGTGTATCAGCATCTGTGATTGTCCTCAGGGGGAGGACTTTTCTAGATGTTTCTGTCCCACCTCTAGCTTTGTGTTGGGGTGAAGCTGTATGTTTCTCAGCAATATGCCTGAAAGTTTGACAAGCATCCTGAGATTAACTGACAGCATTTATAAATAAGGATTATTTTATCTGGGTGCTCATGTCAGCTTTATAAAACAGGACACATTAGCAATGATGCAAAGTGCAGAGGTAGTTTCTTAGAGCAATAACCCCGAATTTCCATTTCTTTCTTGATTGTTCATAGAAACGAAGTATGTTTTTGTGAGTCAAGAGAACAAAGCCACAAATAAACAAACAACAAAAGGTAAAGATAAATCTGTTCTCTTTCAAGAGAGAATCGCTGAGAACTGTGGCCAATGACCATCGCCGCATTTGTGAGCTAACCTTTCATAATAATAGCCCAGGTGGCTGAGTGTCATTGAGATTTGCGATTCACCAAGGCAGCAAATTTTCTGTCATCATTTGGAAGAGAGCGATCAAAACCCACAGTTCTGCGTTATTCTAGGACATTACAAAATCAGATGCAAATGTCCTTGGTTTAACGGAATTTGGACCTAGTGGTGATCCTCCGTTGTTTTTATTACCCCAGTGTGTCCAGCTTCCTCCTGCCTGGGAGCACATTGAAGCCCTCCCAAGGCTAGGTAAGCAGAAAGAAAGAGCAGCAGTTTTGTTCTCAACACAATCAACTAGAATTTGGTATAAATGGCATGGTTGGGGCTGCTTGGCCAGAAGCAACTGCAAAGCAAGATCAACAAAAAGCACTCAGGAGAGGGCGGATGGAAGTAGATGGATCAGCTGGGAACAGCGGCTGTTCGGTGGGTGCCTGCTGCCAGCCTTCGTGTTTTCTGATTCTTCCCGTCTGTAACATGGAACTGCTCTCAGTAGGCTGTCACTCTGCACCGTGTGTGCAAACAGAAATGTATGAGGACAGGGAAGTGCTTATGCTCATGGTGCAATGGGGTTGGGGGAGGGAGGAAGAGAGGAGACGGGAAATTATATGTATACGGCGAGTCAGATGGTGATTCTGAACAGGAGGTGCCGTCACTCATTGTGTGCTGTATCCCTGTGCTGGTTCATGGGGAGAAACAAGGTTCAGTTGGCTGCTGCATCCACTAGGTCCTGGCTTATCAGACCTGGAGGTTTCGAGCTTAGGAATTAATATTGGGGTTTTAGCTGAGGTGAGGATGGGCACAGTGTCAGCTCCATCAGACCAACTGAGATAGCTGGACAGTCAGTCCCTAGATGCCACCCCCCACAGCTGTTTTAAAGGAAAGTGCCCAAAGGCACACTCTCCTTAAATAAGCCTGCAGACTGCGAGAGGAGTGGAGGAGAGAAGGGAA